GGTTTAACACTAACATTTAAAACAAATTTAACCAATAATCAAAGGAGGTCAAAGGGTATCTTCCCATATTTATTTAAGCCTGATTATGACATTTAATTTATGCATTACAAGTTGTAAATCATGCAATAACTCGGAGCCCACAGATCATCGTGCAAAATGAATGAATGAATGAATGAATTTAATTACGAATCTGTGGAATGACGCTTGAGAGGAAAACTGGTGTGCTAATGAGGCCTACTGCATTGAACGGACACTAGATGAAAACCCTAAAGACACAAATAAAATGCGCTGTGTCCTTAATTAAAAGTATATTAAAATTAAAATGTATTTAAAAAAAATACCGTCTCTTAAAATGTCAACCTCCAAGAGTTCGGGTGTCGTAATTTACGGCGGCATACAATGCCTTTATTAATATTGTTTGCTTAAGTGTTTCGGCTACGTTCATATCGTTATCATCAACAGTAAACTTGAGCATATTTTGTTAAATAAATTAAACTACGATATTATACCGATAACCGATTTACTTTCTACCAATAGTACGATCCGATCGTTTATTCAAGTGCTTTCTCTTACTCAAAGAAAGATTCAGCGAAAAGATTAAAAAGTAACGTCCATTGTGATCACTCCAATCTGTTAACAATTCAACTGCTATTGAAAATTGCTGCCACCTTTACGTGTCCACGTTAGAAATCGAATATTCAATCTATAGCGTTTGAAAATTTTGTTTGATTACGTAAAGGCGTTGGGGGCGCCAAATTGACCGAATTCATGCCGCGGGCTGTGTGTAATTTTCCTTTTGCTCGATCCAGAATCGCGTACTGATACCTAACGTGTATACCTAACCTATTTTAACAATTCAACACACAACGTTCTACACCGCTCTCCGATTGTACGAATGATCTTTTATTCTGGACATAAAAATACGAAAAAAGTATGAAAATTTTGTTACTTGCTCAGATTACGACGTTAATATAATTCATTTCTTTATTACCAAAGAGATTAGAGATGAATAAAGAGGGTTTAAGGCGCAGAGTAGAAGATGAATGTCACTGAAACGTAATCTGCAAATTATATTTAGCATCCTTGAAATTACTGGCCAGACGTGAAGTCTGTTTATACCGTTTACACAAATGATATTTCAATAATACTACGTATTATATTTCTAAAAGCCTTGGAAAGTATACAACTGTTACATAAACTTGTTCAATGGAGTACCTACGTAGCATCCCAAATCCATTGCCAAAAAGGGTTATAAGTAAGTATGCTTGGGTAAACAGGAAAAACATAATGCAGTTTGCGTCCCGTATTAAACTGAACCAGTTGAATTACTTAGCCGACGTTCATTTCAGTATACAATTATGCGTGTATTTACACGGGCGAATAATGCAGCGCTTTTCAAATGGGTCATCGTCGATATTCATCACGGGGCTATTGAATCGAATAGGGCATAATTGCACGTCACTAGCGAAGAGCAGGCAGAAAAAAGTTCATAGTGTTCTTTATTTAAAAATCAAATTGACGCAGCAAACAAATTTGGTTTCAATATTTTAGAAGATGTTCGCCTTTTAAAATTTTAAGTTGTAGATTGAAAACGGAACTACACAATTTTTAAACGTTGAAGATATTATTTCATAAGTGTACGTAATTATTAATTATTTTACACGCTAAAAGTATATAAGTATATGCATGATACAAGTTTGTAATACAACGATTTAGATTGCGCAAAGAGTACCTACCTAAGCTAAACAAGATGTAATTGCTGCGCTGTGTAGCGAACACATCAATTCAAATCAAATCAATTTATGGGACTATTCTCATGAATAAATTTGCCGATAGTCGATACCGAACAAACAGTTAAATATGACCGTCCACACAATAAACAAAACTAACTTATTAATGCGGCTATAATTTTAAACAATGATGTTAAATGTGTAACGTTTGTTCATTTTTCAGTTACATTTTGATTTGGCGTACTGAACTGACATCAGAATATTAAATATGGTCCAGTCAAGCGTATCAATGAGAACGGTATCCACGTCACAGAACGTAGGCGTTTGGACTCGAGCCCGAAGACACTGCACGGTGTGCCACGCCTCGAGTCATAAACAACAAAAAAAAATACCGCACGTCGTCTATGCGGTTCCAATGAACTTGCGGATTGGCGCTAATGTACCAGTATTTAGCACGAGGTAGAGCCCCGTGCGCCATAAACCATAATACATAGTTATTATGTTACCTTAGAAACTATGTAAACAGAGCAGTATTGTCATTTGTTAATGTTAATTTTATCACTACCATGGTAAAATGTAGTCGCGAATTTTTCACGTGTTTTACGCTTACTTACCTAAATGATTTCTCGTCCATAATATACATAAAAAAATATCTACATCTATAAGTCTTGTAATAAAATGAGTGGTGCAAAATCATTTCTTGTACCTAATGTGATAGTCTCTGATCACACGAAAAATTTGCAACTTTATCGAATCGGCTTAAAACAATTGGACTCCCTAACCGTCCGTTTATTTGAATAAATAAACAGTTTTGTTTGATCTCATATTCTTTCTTGGAAGAAATCTGAAACAAACCAAGTTTCCTCCAAAAATTATGTAATTATATTGAACGAGAAAAGTTTTGGAATCACTTTTGTTCAAGTACTTTTATTAACCCGAACCTACGTCAAGGGCTTTCGGAGTGTTTTTAAAAATACATCCATGTAGCTAAAAACATACGGCATCCACCTTTATTTTTTATGTTATTGCACAGAATACAGTTTCTTGGAACAAATCCAGAAACGCCCTCTTGTTTGAACGTAGTCACATAAAATTATATTAAATTTTGCTCAACACATCGAGGGGAATGAATTCTGAATACACGTGGCTAGATCGTTATTGTAAGTGTTGGAATTAAGTGTTAATTCAGCGATAACATCATACTTTAATTACATAACTCGGGGAGAATGTTATAGAAATAAGTATGTAAATAGAATTAGTTGGAACTCATATGGTTATACATTATATTGAAAATATCAAGCGATACTTGGTTGCGGACTAGATTTTCCAATATCTAAATTCCAATTTATCTAAAAAATATTACCGGATGCTACAATAGTACCTGGTTTCAGATTTTCCACTTTATAAATACACTAGCTACTCTCGCGCGGTTTCACCCGCTGCTCAGCTCCATTTGATCATAGCGTGATGTTTTTGTGCCTATAGCACTCAGGAACATTGTAGCTATCTATCAGTGAAAGAATTTATTAATATTTTGGCAATCCGACCAGGCAGTGGTTCCAAAGATTAGGTACCCCTACATACAATCTTACAAATTTTACCTCTTTATAATATTAGTATGTATAGATATAAAAGTTCTTTCTATGTTCTCACAAGAATAAATACGTTCAGCATTGGACGAATACTGGCTAATGACGACAATGAGGAAGTACATAAATTCTTTAAAAAAAATAAAGCGAATTATAACGGGTTGAATTATTTGACATACGACATTACAAAGTAGCATTGTACTGAATTTACATCTGTCGTAAAAATCCGTTCTTTGTATATGCAAATTGCAAACATAGGTCACGTTTTTAATATTACATACGTACAAACATGAAGAACAAGAAGATACCTATTACACCTATAATAATAATTATCTTCAATCAGTTCAATGAATCATTCACAGAGTAAGTTATCCAGTATCTATTGCATGCCTTTTTTTCTTTACCATCGTTCATTATCATTCATTGAATGTAATGTCTATTTATATTTATTTATAATCTGTTTATGAGTAATTAAACTATCCGTAAAACTTACTATGAAAGAAATGATGTCAGTATCTACGAATATTTTATTTATTTAATACTTTTAGAATAGCTGGTGAAATTGAGTAGATTAAATTTTAAAAGTATCGGTGCTAAATAGACTGTATTTTACCTACGTCTTTCTACCTTCATTTTTATATTACAAGGCACTCAATGGTAACCAACAACTGATAGGTACTATACATTCCCATAATATACTAATGAATACAATAAATGCCTATCACTTTTTCGAAACTATAGGTCAGGTCGTCGATATAATTATATATGTACCTATAAATAAGGCTATAACACATGAATTAAGCCAAGCATCTTACAATTCACTATTAACCTTGAAACAGCAAAACAGGGCCTTTATCAACTCGTTATTTATTAATGAAAGTTGCTTGCAAACCTTGTTACTTACTTATTCACGTGTTTCACACTAGTTTACACATTGTAAGTACGTACTTAGCGTGTAATAACAACATGTAAGTACAAACATACTTAAACTGTATTTCAAGAGATTTGCAAACGTTGAATATGAAATAAAAATAACAAAAATAAATCTTACCGGTAGCACTCAGCATTATAACCAATAATAAACAGCTAAATTGAATGTCTCTAGACATCTTGACGGTCATAAACACTTTCGTCAAAACAAGATTTTTATTTAAAATTCAGTCATACGTAAATAACTTTTATATACTCGGTTTTTTCACTTTTAATGTAATCTACAGTAATTGACGAGCCTTGGACGTGTAAAAATAATACACTTTAACTCGAATACCGTCAGCAAAAATTATAGTAAACTTTCGTATTTATATACGTGATTTTCAAGTTTTTGGGAACAACGCGTCTCACTCCGCCTGCGCATATATTTCAACTGGTTTGAAGAACGAACAAGTCATTCATACCGCGGGAAAAATTGTAAAAACTACTTGAATGAACTTTGAACGATGAGTGATGTGAACTAATGAACGTGTCATGAAAAGTCTATACGTGTAAGATTAGTGTATTAAATTATTAATGACATCAAACTGAACAGAAAATTACTGTCTACTCAAACAAATAAATATTGTTAATCATTAACAAAAAAACTACTTCACAAAGGTTTGTTGTAGTTTGGTGAAGCTCATTCTGTCAGTGCTCGCACTGTCAGTGTCAGTCAACTGTCAAATTGACAAGTAGGAATTAGGAAGTAATTCTTACGGCACAAAACTATTTCTGCTATTAATTAAGAAAAATGTGGTAATAGAGCCAATTTTATCAAGGCATTTCATGCTACAGTGAAGTGTCAACTTATCAAAAGTGATTTAACTGGAAAGAATTGTAATATCATTCGTAAACACTAAGGTCTCCAGTTATAAACATAACCTAAAATGGCTAACAAAATCTTAGGTCAATTTTTGAGAAGTAGGCCGTCTATGATGATGTTCACGCGATGGGAGAGCTCGGAGCCAGAAAAACGCGTGACAATCCACGATCCTTTTTACTCACAGCCACAGAAAAACAAAGAGACATACTTAGAAGTAGTAAAAATGTTCGAAGGCCGGGACAACAGGAGACGGGGTCATGTCGAGTTTATATACGCTGCTTTAGCAAGAATGAAGGAGTTTGGAGTGCAAAAAGATCTAGAAGTATATAAAGCCTTAATTGACGTGTTACCCAAAGGAAAGTTTATACCCAAAAATATATTCCAAGCAGAATTTATGCATTATCCGAAACAGCAACAGTGTGCAGTAGACCTATTGGAACAAATGGAGGACAATAGTACTTATCGTTTATATTTTACTTTGCTTTTAATTATCATGTTGCTATTTATTTTTACAATCTTTTAAAATGGAGACATGCTAATATTCTTTTCTTTGAAAGTACAGAAGTGATGCCAGATACAGAAATGGAGCAGATGCTGTTAAACATATTTGGTGCCCGAGGTATACCTCTTCGCAAGTTCTGGCGCATGATGTACTGGATGCCTAAGTTCAGAAACCTAAGTCCTTGGTATTTACCTGAACAGCTGCCTAATGACACAACTGAGTTAGCTAAACTTGCTATACAGAGGATAACTTCTGTAGATCCAGACACCAAAGTTGAAGTTTGGCAGGTGAACATTTTGTTGTAGTATTTGCACCAAAACTTCTTAGTAAAAATCTACTCTTGAAATGGTTTTAACATCTGTGCAGTCCTTCTACAGATTAAATTATAGACCTTATACAGATTATAAAACATTCATTATATATTTTGGAATACAATATGAAATTGTTCTATTGCCCTATAATATTACACACCTCAGTAATGAAACAATTTTTTGTCAGACAGAAGAAATAGAAGCTTCATTAGACAAGACCTGGGTAGTCAGTGCTCAAAGTGAAGCTCAGAAGATACTCCTAGCAGACCAGCCAACTGATGACCCATTGGTTGTGAAGGGACCATTTAATATCTACTTGAGAGAACAAGTAGTAAATTATTTCTTACTTATTGGGAAAATAAGACCAGAAATCAAAGATAACACAGATCCTGATGGTAACTATATAATTCCAACATTTTAAATACAGTTCTTAAATTAAATAAGTGCTAATTTTGTCTCATTCTAAATTTGATCCTTTAGAAAATCTTTGTTTTATTATTACCTACATAAATAGATATTCTCTTTCTTCAGATGTGTCCAAGATAGAGAAACCTCTTGGGATTCCTGGGCTTATAGGTAGTACAACACTACCAGCATTGAGGCAAACAGTGCATGAACAAGATGATGGTACAATAGTATCAGTCTGTGCTACAGGTGAGATATAAAGAAAGGAAATAATCAAAGAAAGATAATGACTGTTCAGTTGTTACAATATCCAAAAAAGGTTTTTAAGTACATAAAGATTTTTGTTTCCTTAGGCACATCATCAAGAGATTCTTTGTTATCATGGATCAGATTGCTAGAGAAAAATGGTAACCCTCTACTTTCTAGTATACCAGTGATATTTACACTGACAGCACCCCCAAGTGAGATGGCCATACAGGAAACACAGCCAGCAATAAAGGACAGCAAAGAAAAAGAAGAATCTAAAATTTAATAAGTGAACATTATTTATTTTTAATTTTAAGACCTATTGTTTATGTAGATGTTATATAGTAAATTGTTTTGTTTATAAGTCTTGATTTTTATTGCAATAACCTCATCTTTTACTATCAAATAAATAAAACATTAAACAATTATATTTTCTCTATATTCAACAACAAATTTAAGAACTGTACAAATAAGTTATTATACACAATACTTGTATAAGACAGTTGACATGATAATTGTGGGATATTCAAGTTTGATTTTAATGAAAATATACATACATATATACAGTTTAGGCTTATTTATATAAATATTAAGTTGGTTTTTATACATCTTATTGGCTGCTTGTTTGCAGTTGGACTGCAATTCCATTTGGCTAAAAGGCACACTAGAGATATTTACAGCCATTGTCTAACTGTACACCAATTGCAATATTCACCTCATACCATGATTAACACTTATTTACATAAAACACAAAATCACATCAGCTTAACAAAGTACAAAGTATTTACAACCTTATTATCTAGTACAGTCAGTCCACTTTTGGTTCACATTAAACAGATCTTAAGTCCATTCATAGTCCTCATCATCTTCAAATGATATTGTTCCCCACTGTCAAGTGATGTTGTGCCAGTCTGCTTGGGGGAGCAAGTAGGTCTCATTGGTGCTGCGGACTACTGTGACACCAGCTCCATAGTAGGGTATGACATAGGCTGAACCATCAGAAGGACCAACCACCTTGAACATAGAATACAGGATACATAATAAGAAATTAAACATAATGAAACTGAAATGATACAACACATGATTATTTTTGTCAAATGTTTATCAACTATCTTTTACAGTACAATAAGAAATTTATTGATTTCTATGGGAATTGTTTCGTTTTGAAACAGTGCTATATCATAATATATCCTATCCTACAAATATTATACATATTTGTAGGATAGTTTGTAAGAATGAGAATGTATCGATATAATATATGTTTGTTATTCTTTCATGCAAATATGGATGGACAAATTTGGTATGTAGATAGGTCATAATATCCGAGGTAGCTAGTAATACATTATGTTAAGTTTTTAAAACCTCGATTTTGGAATTTGTAATCTTAAAATTGTATAATTACCTGAGCAGCAATGAGAATTATGTCCAAGAGTTGCCCCAGGAACATGAATCCCAATGTACACAGCTTAGCTAGCCCGATGCCTGGATAACCTAAGTAGAACCGGTCCAGTCCAAACATACCCAGGAACACAGAAAGTAGCAGTGCTATCTCTAGTGAATAGCCATTCCTGAAAAAGTAAAATAGCATTTTAGATAACTATGTCCCAGCTATCGTGTGAATATCATCTACACTCAATTAGAAGGCAAAAAACACAAACAAAGAAAACACCGTAAGAGTAAATACACTTTGTTATTAATAATGTGTGTCACTAATAAATATGAAAAGAGGTCATATAGTTTATTCCATCAACTAAACAATAATCAATAATACCTAATGTATCTACTGATGAATGACACAGTATATTTCAAATTAAGCTATAAAACATCTTTATACTTACGTCCATTTACATGGCATCTTCCGTTTAAATGATGAGCTGTTAGTTTCATTGCAAATGATGCCTTCAGATGCGATACAGTAGACTGAAAATAAAATAACAGTTAATGTTATTATATACTCTCTTCTGATTTGGATGAAATTTCTAATAGAATGGTACTACATCAAGATGGTACTTGGTAGTGTATTGTAGTGGCAATGAAAATTACTCACACTTAAAAAAAAAAGCTACACGTAGCAATAATTAAATTATTGAACACTGTAGCAAAAATCAAGGACAATGCAATTTCAGGGTTTGTATGGTTTTCTCACCACTTGTCTTATATCACACCCATAGGTGTCTTTAGTCAAGAACACTTTGGAAGATATAAATTAGAAAGAGAGCAACAAGAAACAAGGTTCTAACCTTCAGCTTCCCCTTCAGAGGGTACATCTTTTCCTTTGACGCATCCTGCAAATTGTTGGGTGTTAGGATCGATTTGATCTTTGTTTGGGTCAGGGCAGATGTACTGGCCTAGTCGTAAAGTGCTACAATCCACTACCACCTTATCTCCTTTCGCCTCAACCGAAGCCTCAACTCCAGAATAAAGGCAAAGAAAACAAATTGGCATAAAATAATATCGCAACATTTTTGCACTTGCCGAATTGATTTCTAATACGAATCAAAGAGGTATAAGATTTTTATTCACATATTATTGAGTTTTAGCCACACGCCAAGCTGTTATAGAATAATCTTAGACAAATATTTTGATTTATCGGATTAACATAACACAAAATTATTCGATTTCACGCTGACTTGTTAACCGACTTTGACAAATTCATGAATTGAAGTTGACACTAATGACAATGACTATATTGACAATTGCACTAAAATGACTATTCGAAAAGTAGAAGAGCATTGTAGTGTTAAAGCGTAGACAGAGAATACCTCTATTCTCTGTCTACTCTATTCGATGTCCTTAATTCTGTACCTACATAAAGACACTCAAAGAACAATGCAGTCTCAGAAATTGCTAGTTTTTTTGTAAATAAGGCATGACACATGTCACTACGTTCTGAAATAGATTTAAATAAGAACATTATTCTGCTCGCATTCTGTTTATTTTTTATATTTTCTTTCTTGTTTCGGCCCTCCAGCTAGGTGGACTGATGGTCTGTTATATCGGAATAACTATTATTTAAAATATAAATTAAAAATGCTGAGTTTCCAATTGCATTGACGTCAATGCAACAGAAAACCGCTGTGATTGATTCCATGTTAATTTTCCATTAGTATTGCATTAGACTTTCGTCGGGCATAATACCAACTTTGTATAGGTACGTTTATCTTTTTTTTTTTAATGTATTAAGTCGTCAAACGAGCAGGCGGATTACCTGATGGTATGGCATCAACGCCGCCCATGGACGTCCACAACGGAGGAGTTAAGAGTGCGTTGCCGACCTTTTAGGGATTAGGGATTTGGAGATTTAGGGATTGGGGAAGGGTCCGGGAAGGGGAATGATTGGGGAAGGGGAAGGATTGGGCTTCCGGTAACCTCACTCACACGGCGAAACACAACAATATAACAATACACGGCGAAACATATCAATTTAATACACAATTTTCTTTTAGCAAATTCAATAGTTTTTTTTTAAGTCATCATCGACCCGCTCCGTAACAGGTCCCTTAGGGTATGGTCTGTGCTGATGATCCAGTTCCTTAAATACATTTGATTATATCGAAATGTTAAATAATAAAATTTATCAATCTTTACTTCAGACAAAATAAAATTATGAAATGATAAATAAAAAAATATATAGGTATTTGATCTTTTCATGTTACCTACCCTCATAGCTTAGCAAGAGTATGGTAGGACTATTATTTTATTTTACGTTGCTTAGGAAAGTGGCGTAGTTTTACCATTACCAACCTACCTAGAAAAAAAACTCCGATTTCAACAGTCTAAACCCTCTATGAAATATCTTGATAATTTCCTGATAGACTAGATCCTAAGTTATTGTCAATGGCGGTTCACTAGCTATTAAACTAACTTCTTAAGTAGGTAGTAGGTAGTCGGCTCGACCCATATTCTAGTTTAATTTCCGGTATAACCTCGACCACAGAAATTATTTGACGTAAGTGAGTACCTGCGTATATTTGTATAAAATTAAATGATGTTCGATTGCGTATTCAATAATGAGAAAGAAACCTTTTTACTTACATTAATAAAGCAGTAAATCTGCAAAGTAAGTTGGTACTTTGTTAGTCTAATGCTCACTAATGGCATTGCCTTGAACGGAGTTTCACGATTGATTCCTAAGCAAGGCAAATTATGTTTAATTTTTAATTTCAAATTGGATTTTGGACACCGATCCTAGAATCGAACTCGAACCACAGTGCTCTGAAATCGTGGCTGCAATGAAGTACAATGACTCAACTATCAAAAGTTGTCCCACTTATGTTTTGTAATTTTCTAAAACACAACATGCTTTGATTTTCTCAAGATAAAAAAAGAAGCATAGGTATACACCTACACAGCTAGGTAGATATTATAAACGTTTTAATTGAATTTTATTGGACAAACGAATTCGTTCTCGTGAAGTAGGTAAAAGCTCTTGTGTTGACAGAGAGCCCTAGTGTCCGCTTCACATTTTTGTAACAACCACTTTCATGTTTCAGTTAAGAGTACCTACCTTAAATAATTGCATTTTGTTGCTGCAGTTGGATTGGGAGTTGGAGTTATAAGTGCATCGAAATCAACTTTTTTTATAGGTATGATTTGTAGGTAAGTACCTAAATACTTTTATGGGTAAGAAATAAAAAGCCTTATGGTATCAGTATGTTTTTAAACTTATTTAGGTAGGTAAGATAGGTTACCTTGCTACGTATCTTACTGACTAGGAACCTACTTATGATGTTTTCTCTAAATGTGCGAAGACAGCCTATTGGGTTGGACAGATGACCATTGGATCGTTAGCACTAAATATAAACCACTAGCTACTCTCGCGCGGTTTCACCCGCTGCTCAGCTCCATTCGATCGTAGCGTGATGTTTTATAGCCTATAGCACTCAGGAACATTGTAGCTATCTATCAGTGAAAGAATTTTGGCAATCCGACCAGCGGTTAGAAAGATTACCCCCTACATACAAACTTACAAATTTTACCTCTTTATAATATTAGTATAGACTAGCTACTCCCGCGCGGTTTCACCCGCTGCTCGGCTCTATTTAATTGTAGCGTGATGTTTTATCTTGCCTATAGCACTCAGGCACATTGTAGCTATCTATCAGTGAAAGAATTTTGGAAATCCGACGAGCGGTTTCAAAGATTACCCCTACATACAAACTTACAAATTTTACCTCTTTATAATATTAGTATAGATAAGTAGAATAAATAGCTGCAATTAATCATTATCGTACCTACTTTTTATGGCATAGTTCCTGAAACTACGATTCGTCCCGGAACATGGCTCTCTCACATTTAGTACCCAACTAGGTATTTCCCCGGGCGTCGGGGATCAAGAGATGATCTCCGGCCACCGTAAGCGCGGGTCTGCGGACGCCGAGTAAGGGCAGGTCGCCGCCCGACCAGAACCAGACCAGAGCGTACGGCGCGTACCGTTCCACGTGCCCCTCAAAGTGCCAATAACCACCACATGCGGGGCCCTACGGGGCTGATGTTTAGCCAAGGTTGCGGGGCAAACGTACCTAATGAGGCATCACAGCCTTAGCCTAGAGCAGAAGAAGGGGGTTTTTAGTCAGTAAGAGTGACACTTTCTCTGGCCTCAACCTGCTCATTTTCCTTTGCCAAAAAAGAAGCACCTAGATATTTCGGAAAGATAAAACAATTCTTCATATCGAATTACAGAACGTTGCAGTGAAATTATTTCTGCAGCAATTAGGCATTGCTAGAAAAAGACGACAATAAAGCAAGGCAACGTCTGGCGGTAATGACCCCAATCTTGAGGTGCAAACAGCCAAGTGTAATTTGCAGGCAAGACTAATGTCGTCCATTATATGGAACAAGTTTTGTTTAGGTACACGAAAACACCTGCAGCGCGAATAATTTGTCTTTGTTTGAATATTATGAATAATGCCTTTGTTTGCAAGCTGCAAGCTTTTGTTAGCAGTTTTGGCTGCATAATAATAAGACAGTTAGGCTTTGACTAAGTACTTTACCTAGTTGCATTTGAATTATATCTAATGGAGGTATATTTAAATTTTAGATATGTTTAGTTTTTACTGTGTAGCGGCTGTCTGTATTCTTCTTCTACTTAAGTACAGAAAATGTGTTAGTAGGTTCTTATTTAACTTGAGAGAGCCATGCTTCGGTACAAATAGGCCGGCTCAATGGGAGTGACACGACGGTCTCGCAGAAAGTTGTCGTGGTACAAGGATTGGGATATAACTATTTCGTCGTCTGAGTGAAGTTAACAAAGGTCTAACCTCCCCCCTTCCTTTGGTGACTTCTCTGGTGTAGCGGCTGTAAATGTCTTACCATCAGATGATTCGGCTGGTCGTTTACCGCCTTAAGAAGTATCAATTGAGGGCCTAAACATTTTGCCTTTTACCATATCTACAGTAACAAATGCATTCACTTTGTTAACTAAAAATCGCGGGTTACTTACGTGTATAAATTGAGAAAAGCTCTACTAGTTTCGAACCACAGAGGGGTTCTTCAGTAGGCTGCGCGACGTCGCCGCGTCCGCGCACGCTGCTCATGAGGAAGAACCCCTCTGTGGTTCGAAACTAGTAGGAAGAGCTTTTCTCAATTTATACACGTGAGAAACCCGCGATTTTAGTTAATTTAGTATGTCTCACGAAAGTTATTATAAAAAGCATTCACTTTGGTTTAAAAAGTCCATAATGCATGAAAAACAAGCAACGGATTCGATCAAAAAGTTTGCCTTCAATAACTCGATGGCTGCCTCATTAGTAGAAGTAGGACAACTAGGACATACAGAAGTTATTCAACGGACGAAGTTTTTCTTAACTTCGCATGAACTCATTATGCATTCAGGATAAGTCATTAGTAAACAGTGAGATGGCATAGTTCGCACTCGGACATAGGAGTTGTACTAACGAATCAACTTTTCCAACTAGTCTGAACTAGATTGGTGATGCAGTGAAGTCGTAAATTATTATACTTATATTTGGAAAAATCGATAGGGGAGTTGTACGAGTAGAGAAAAAATGGAATTTTCATTAAATTTTATTTGTGTACTTTATTATTTCACATCAATAATATTCACCTCTGGGTTTATATCCAAAAACGCGTCAACATAGAGATTAATTGACTTGTTTTTTCTTTTACAGAAAATATAAATGTGCATCTCTTATCATAATGACTGCCCTGTAACCTATTACAATTGGTTAGACTAGCAGAATGTCGGTCCTTATATCAGCTTGGAGTTGTCATGCTCACTGAAAGGTCGCAATGACGGTGGCACGGGCGCTGGATCGCTTAATTCCCTATAATATGGTTGAGTTGGGCGATGCTGTTGTACGTGTCATGTTCGTGAACGGGCGCCGTCAGTTGGGACTGGTCAGCTCCGGACTGTCTATTGTCCTTAAGGTTATTTTCTTTTTATATTTCTCTGAATAAATATTAGTGTTATACTGTTCTCACATAATTGAACCAACTGTTTGTAAAAGGAAACTGCATGTGAAACTAATTTAAAAAGAGTAGCCATGGAGTTTCTGGCTCGTTCTTCTTCATCGGAATCTACACTTTGGAACGAGCAAATAGTTTCACAAAGAGGACTGACCGTCAGACTGACACTATATCTTCAAAATTTTGTTTGACGTTCAAAAGTGCCTTAAGCCTGTAATGGTCTAATTGGACTTAATGATTTTTGAATTTTATAATATATTTTATTGCAAGCTGTTTAGGGATTTTAAATCATCGAAATTGTATAGAATGCTACTGGCAACTAAATGGCAGGCCGCATTTTTAGGATAAGATTTAAAAATGTCCGTAAATAAAACAAATACATATTGAACTAGTTACATGTTTTATTATATCATTCACTGAATACAGACAATCGATTACAATGATTTCGGTATAAAACATTTTAATAGATTATGAATAATTATATTGGCACTAAGCTAATGTATTTATTATTATATTAGTTGCTTTGTTATGAGAAAATTTTTCGTCAAGCCCTTAGCCACGCCAACCGGTAAAGGACGGAGACCTGGTAAAAGAAATAAATTGATTACTTTTATATTCATGATAACTCCTAAAATAATTGGCCAAGATGTCGCCAGTGGGGCTACCATGAAGGGAGTTGCTTTACATTTTTCGGTTAACGTGAGTACTTTAAGCGCAACGTGTCGCGGGTTCGATTCCCGCACGGAAAAACTCTTTGTGTGATCCACAAATTGCTGTTTCGGGTCTGGGTGTGATGTGTATGTGAAATAGTATTTTGGTAAACGCACCCACAACGTAGGAGAAAATCATAGGGTGGGGCAGTTTTTATAAAATTAATATAAATATATCTTAGGGTGTAATTTAACTGGTTGGAGTACTATATTAATGTGTCCCAGCTCTTACTTTCAGGAATTATGTTGAGGTTACACATTGACGATAATTGTAAAAACTCCATAATATAAAATATAGAACGGTTAATTGCAAATCCAATACTTACGTATTGAAGGCGGGTGCTTGTGGTTGAGGCGCCTGCGCCTGTTGCGCCAGGTTGCCGAATGTCAATGTGTTCTGAGTCGCTAAGCTCTCGAACGTGGCGTTTGATTGCGTCGGCTGACCAAAACCTGCTGGAAAATTAAAAAGATGAAATTCCTCTTCACTCTGCGATAGATTTGCAAGATTTGTTATTTGAACGAATATATTAAACAAATATGCCAAGAGAAAATGATCGAATTGACCACAGGTAAATTAAATGAAAGTAAATGTAATAAGCCCAACGTAATGAAATGTAGTACGCCAGTCTTGTCATAAATTTAAGAGACAATTATTCTTTAACGACCCAATTTATCTATATTATACACGGATGATAAAAACAGTGTTAGTAAAATTTTAAAGATGGCATTTGGGCCATGATTCTGCTCGAATGGGCTTATTCAACGCAGTGCCGTAATGCCTTAAAGAAAAAGCGTGAAAAAACCTCAGCGTTGTTGCACCGTGTTAGTGAGGTTACTGGAGGCCTAATCTTTTCCATCCCCCAATCCGTTAAATGGCAACAAAGCCGATTGCTTGCCATCAGATAATTAGTACGCTTGTTGCTGTATTCCATAAAAATAAAGATAATGATCACTGCACGGTTGGTTGGCTAGGCATCTGGCTGACGCGCATGTCTAGAGAAACCTAGTGTGGAGCATGGTTAGAAAAAAAAAACAATAAAACACGATATAAGAACAACACTTACTAGGTTGTGCAGCGCCAAACATTTTCCCAGGCGATGTACTTCCGAAGCCCGGACTTCCACCGAAAGTGGCTCCACCTCCGAAGGCGGCTGGAGCCCCGAAACCCCCACTAGGACTTTTGTTGAACCCTCCGAATGAAGAGCCAAAGCCACCACCACTGGGTGGCGATCCGAAACCGGAAGGTTGTCCGAACACGGGCTTCGCACCAAACCCAGACGATCCACCGAAGGCAGGAGCTAGGGATAAATAAAAAATATAGAAGAATATTTACTATGGAAATTTCGAAGTTGCTTGTCCTCGCAGTTTTGTGAATTTATTCCATGATATTATTATCTAAATTTCGAGTTTGCTCGACAAATTTCGAGCCACACCGGGGCTCTTAATGAAAAAATACAGCAAACAAATGTTTTATAGAAATTGCAATCGATGAAAATTTTGTTCTAGGTCTTAAAAAATAATCTTTACCGGCTTGTTGCTGGGGTGAACCGAATGCTGGAGCCTGAGGGCTGCCAAATGCTTGGCCAGCTGGGGACGGTGTACTAAAGCTACCACCAGTTGTATTGCCGAAGATTGACGACGCTTGAGTAGTAGCTTGCTGACCTGGGTACGTAAATGTTGGGAATAGCATTCAACAGCAATACAAAAGTAATAATCAATTTCAAAGTCAAAGTCAAAATAATTTTTTACAACTAAAACATAAATAGGTACTTTTGGAACGTCAAAATAGAATAGTAGTCTGCCAATCTGTGTAACTGTATTAGTTAAACGAATAGTGTCAATATTAACATTGTTAACCATTCAAACCTGGACTATTATTTATCAGGCAATGCGGGTATTTAAGAGTTAAATTACAAAGAATCAGTATGGGATAAAGAGTAACCATGGAGTTTCTTGCTGGTTCTTCTCCATCGGAATATACACTTTGGAGCGAGCAAATAGCAGCACTAAGAGGACTGACTGACATACTGATACTTTATGTTCGACGTTCAAAGGTGCCTGTTACTTTTCACTTCAGATGTAAATCATATTATAATAGAATGAGTACTTTAGATTCGAACTTTTAGATACTTATGATTTTAATTCGAATATCGATTAATGGTCAACAAAACGACATTATAGGTGTTTCACTTGATCACATTCTACTAAAACATGGGCAACCAACACATCAAGATCTTACAAACAAAAAATAAAAGAAACATATTTACCAAAGCCGGTAGATCCAAAACCTCCTGTGGTATTGCCTCCTGACCAGAAATTGGCTGCTGGTTTTTGTTCTCCGAAGCTCGTTGCACCTCCACCGCCGAAGATTGCAGCCGCAGTGGAATTGCCCTGGCCAAAGGCAGCCTTACCACCGAAAACGTTTGTATTACCGCCGCCGCCAAACACAGAACCCGTGGAAGCACTGAAGAGAGATGAACAAGGTTAGGAGCTTGTAATTTAGGTAAACGATTTATATTGTACGTATCAGAAAAGAATTAATTATACAATTATATTCTTACCCTCCTCCAAAGATACTGCCACCGCTAGTCTGTGAAGGAGCGCTAGTTGTAGATATACTAGCCGCTGCAAACAAATTGGCCTCGCCACCACCGAAGAGAGAGCCCTGAGCTGTTGTAGTAGGCTGAGCGCCAAACACAGACGCCTGAGTTGTCGGTGTACTTCCGAATACCGACGCTTGAGTAGTCGGCGTGCTACCAAACACCGATGCTTGAGTCGTTGGTGTAGTTCCGAACACAGATCCTTGACTAGTTGGAGCACTTCCAAACATCGAGGCTTGCGTAGTCGGTGCACTTCCGAAAACTGATGCCTGACTAGTTGGTGCACTTCCGAAAACAGATGATTGAGTTGTTGGCGGACTTCCAAATACAGAAGCCTGAGTGGTTTGTGTAGTACCAAAAACGGACGCTTGAGTAGTAGGCGTGGGAGATCCAAAAACGGATGATTGCGTAGTAGCAGTTGCCGCACCGAATACAGAAGCTTGAGTCGTTGTTGTTCCAAACACAGACTTGTTTGGAGGGGCTGAACCGAACACAGAAGATCCTTGCCCTCCAAATACAGACGCCGCAGTTGTATTAGCTGCCGCTGCAAATATACTCTGTGCACCCGAAGACGGTGTAGCCGTCGATGTAAATGCACTGGTAGCATTTGACGCTGCATTGCCAAACATAGACTGAGTAGTCGCTGTGGCCGTTCCAAATACAGATTGAGTTGTAGTAGTTGATGCACCAAATGCAGATGCTTGTGTGGTTAGCGTAGAACCAAATACAGATTGTGTAGTTGAAGATCCAAAGACAGAAGATGGCGATGCCGGTGCAGCTGAAGTTGTTGCAGTTGAACCGAAGACAGGAGATTGGGTGAAGGACGATCCAAATACGGAACCCGCTTGGGTTGTTGATGCTGTAGCTGAACCAAATACTGCCTGAGGTGAAGACGGAGCCTCGGGCGATGCAGGTGCTGGTGTACTGAACACCGAAGGTTTGGTTGTGCTGTTGGCGCTACCGAATACTGACTGAGCCGTGGAACCAAATACTGAAGTAGTTGTTGTAGATGTAGGCGATTTACTTCCAAATATTGATCCTTGCGAAGATGTTCCAAAGACAGAAGCAGGAGTGGGTGAAGGTGCGGCACCTGATGCAAATATGGATGTTGGAGTCGTAGGTTTGGGTTGTGAAGCCACTGCTGCACCAAATACAGATGCAGCTGAAGGTGTAGAAGAAGCAGCATTAATATTAAGGGTAGGTTTTGTTTCAGTAGATCCTGAGACTGTTGTTGGCGTATCCGATTTCGAAGATGGTTGTTCAGACGCAGCACAGGTTTGAGATTTGGATTCTGAAAATAAGATGTAAAATATAAGTACTTTGGTGACTTTTTAAAGCTTAAAAAGTAATCAAAAGGTAATTTACCTGTAGGAGCCACAACATTGGCGCTACCAAATATTGAAGACGATACAGTCTTCTCTGGTGCTTTGAAAGAATCTACTTTCGACTCAACGGATTTTTGTGGTTCACCTGAAATAAAATTTCGTTAAAGTCATTACATTTAAAATGTGAATAATAACATTATACTACAAGTTAAAGACTTAAAATCTTACTTTGACTAGTAATGGGAGTACCTGCTACAACTGCTTGGGGCGCTGATCCAAATATAGAAGTCTTGTTACCCGCTTGCGCAGTTAATGGTTTAGTCGCTTCTTTGTTATCACCAGCAGGTTTTGGTGCAACTTTATTTTCTACATTTTGAGGAACGTTTTCTTTAGACTTCTCTTTCTCAGCGGGTTTAGGAGCATCAGCCTTAACATCTTTAGTAGTTTTTATGACATCAGGAACAATTGGACTTGGTGCAGGTGTTGAAGGTTTTAGTTGAAATAGATTTGTGAGTGGTTTATTTATAGTTGATGATTTAACGACTGCTGGTTTACTATCAGTTTCTGGTTCACCAGTCTCACTTGACTTAGGGCTAGCGAATATAGAAGTTTGTTCAGGTTTTAATGGGAAAGGTTTTGGTTCTGCGGTTACAGATGGTAGTTTCGGCTCTGCGAAAAGTTGGGTTTTAGGCTGCGAAGCTGAAGTCTGTTTATTGTCTTGTACAAACGACGGGCTTGGGAATTTGTTGATATCAGCTATGGGTTTGGATGTGAACGCTGGTGTTGATGTAGGTGTTGATGTTGCTGCGGTTGTAGTCACTAAAGTGAAAATAAAATTTATGATTACAAACTGAAAACGGGGACGTAGGATTTGAAAAAAAGTAGACTGTGTATCTATTTCTTTGCGAATTAATAAAAACACCTGTTAATTACTGTTTGTTATAACTGCAACACATGTAAACATCAAATTACCGGCGATATTTCAAATCATTATTTTTCATAAAAAGTTTTATAATAAACATAATTATAAAAAGTCACCGAGTACGATTAGTTATGGAAGTAAGTTTTTTTATAGTTACATTAAGACATGATTAATTTGTTATACAATTGGGTAGATTCCTAGGTCGAAAATAAATTAATTCGATGTTACAATACAATATTCAAAAATTTTACTTTTATTCATACTACTTTTATTCGATAAACTCAAATTGCAATATTTTTAGCAAATTTTTAAAAAATACGTTATCTATTTGACGCAAAGACGTCACAACTTTTTTGACATTTGGATAAAAGTATTGAATTTAACTAGTTGGAAATTATCGTATTATATGATGAAATGTAATTGTAATATCTTACATGAAAACGAAGAAGGCAAACATATTTTCTGTCCCATGAATAAGTTGTTAGTTTCGTTTTTATTAGCTTGTTTATTCTGTAGGAGGTCTTTGAGTACACTGCGCGTTTCAGCTGATGCAGGAGTGTTGGAGAAAGAAAAGGCTGGTGCAACTGGCTTTGGCAACGCGGGCTGAGGTTGGGGCTTAGGTGGCTCTGGTTTAGGTTCTGTGAAACAAAAATATTCCTGGTTAGTATAATAAGGACTATAAAATTAATAACATAAGAATAATAAGGACCAGACACAGGATCAATAAGGACCACCGGCTTTTCTCTCACCAGATGGCGCTAGTGTAGTGTTAGGATTTTTTGTCTAATAAAAATTGCTGACAAAAATTGTATGTATAACAATGTATAATGGTTTAAAATTAAATAATATATAAATTGTCAAGGCATGTTTATTATTTTATAATAATAACTGCCACTATATTATAACGGACCATCTGATGACCAAAAAACGGTAGACCTAATTTCTTCTGACTGCAAACTTTTAGTACTAAGTTGTTTTTCAATAAATATATGTGTATATATATGTCTCACTATAAAACTTTAAATTAATAGTTATTTTTGAGGCGGTGAACAGTTCGCCGGGTCAGCTGGTTATGCTAAAATTCTATTTATGAGATTTTATATCCATCATCTTCTAAGTAGCCACTTACCATCAGTAAATAATGTTCTGGCGACGTTCGTAAGTCCAGGGATGGGGGGCTTCATTCCACCGACCGGGGTAAACGATGGTACGGTTAGAGGCGCCGGTTTGAACGGTTCTTGTTTCGGTTCCAACTTGGGCTCCACTTTAGGCATCACAAATAATTGTTGTTGAACTAAAATAGTGCAAATTAAATAATATTTTTAGTAAGTTATGAACCCCATACATGTCATCCTTTTTCTTTAAAATCCCAATCGCCGCATGTATTGATCGTTATACAAGTACAATAACGATCCCCACTTAAGAGTTAAACAATAGGCTATTTCTTACATTAAGCTGACGTCGACTGAGTACATCTAAGTACAAAACCCTAAAAACGGGCCCACAAAAGACGGTGATAACTAAAGAAAGAGCTATAAATTCCAACTACACATGGAAAGTTCGTTCAGAATTTAAATTAGTATTTATAAAGTTCTTATTTTGATATTTTTTTCATATTTTCTAAACTTATGGTTGTCAGAGGAGCGAAGGGGGGCGGGTTTTTTTGAACTTTTAGTACGATTTTTTTCCATAAATATAAACATCATCGAAATGATCTCGGTACCCTTTTTATTTTTATATATTTAACTGTATATCCAAAATACAATGGCAGACTTACCCGGCTTAACCTGAGGTTTTACATCAGGCTGTGGACTTGGTACTTCAGTCTTAATTGGTTGAGCTTTCTCTTTCATACTCTTTTCATAATTCATCCTCATAGTAGCCAAGTGTTGCCTCACTTCAACATTCACTGGTTTTATCTTCACCGTCTTATGGTTAGACAACATGTCTCTAAGAGCATCTAGCTTCTGAGAGGATAGCAAAGGTTCCTTCTTCTTACTGTCAGTAGCATCAATACTCATATTAAGAATGTTCTTCGTTAGTTTCGAAAGGGGATCTCTGTGGAGTTCATTATCTTTCTTATAACCTCCTAACAAATTTTGAACATGCTTTGTTTTTGTTTAGCCAATTTGAGCATGCATGAAGCCAAAAATATGTTAAACAAAAAAAAACAAAAGTTACAAATAACAACACCAGGTATATGATTATGCCAAGCGAATTGAACACATATAGCTCCTAATATAAAGTCTAAATTGGAAGGTTAAACTTACTTGTTTCTAAATGGCGTGCTCCTCAATAGAGAGCTGGTTTTGAATAAGGGTGTGACGTCACATTCGTTAAGAGTATTTCTAAGAGTTCGTAGTACAGCTTGCTGGCGACTTAGAATCTCTTGTTGTTTCACTAGTGGTTGGTATACGTCATCTAGGATTGGGCGGATCATGCGCTGGCCTGGCCTGAGAAATTGTAATTTTCTTTGTAGTTTTCTTTCTTATAAATGTCGAGTTTTTTTTTGCTTATCGTCGTCAATACAACAAAACTAAGTACATATTGAAACTAACCTTATTACTAATCACTTGCAAAACAAATGTTTAAGTAGCCATGGTTAATGATTTTTAAAACCTTCTTTAATATGTAGCAATAAGGACCATTATCGTATTACAGTATACACTGAGTCTATTATAAATAACAACAAAATTATAAACTTTCGGGGGACAGTCATGCTTTGTCAGTCAGTCAGGTCGTACGACAAAGACTGAAAAAACGCTTGTATTGTGTTTCGTGCTATGAGTGACGTCACCGGAGGCCCAATCTCCCCCTCGTAAAAGCTGGCAAAGAACAATTATCACCTCTGGTGTAGTAAGTGATCTGTGTCTGTGCGAGTTGGTAACCATCAGATTAATCTTGCTATCTCATTTAACATTTTTTTAATGTGGTAGGTTGACAAACCAGCTGTCGGATGATTTGATGGTAAGCAATCGCCGTCGCCCATAACACTCGCAATACCAGATGAATTACGATTGCGTTGCCGGCTTTATGGGGATTACGCGGTGTGCGTGAGCGACGATAATAATTAATATTGTGTTTCTTTGTAAAAATATTATATTTGAGTTCTTTCCGTGCTACGATATTTTTAAAAAGTCTGTACTTTAAATATGTACTTTCAAGCAAAGTTATACTGTACTTTTTCATGATTCGAGAAGTAATGACCAAAATCACGTAGGACATTTGCCGCGTATAGCATCGCGTCGCATTACGTCGCGCCATGTTGCGTCGTTAGGGTTTCGGATATTTTAGGAATTGGGGAGGGGATAGAATTGGCCTCCAGTAACACAAGTCACACGATAGAACACAACGTTATGATTGTTTACCGCCGATTTACTCTAAGACCGGTTATCACTCCGGTCGAGCCGACTCGTTCATGAAGAAGCATGGCTATCCCTACTACCCTACTTAAATAACTTACTTGTTAAATTGCGGGTCGTTAGATATAGTTTCGTTCCACTTAAAGTCAAGTGATTTCTGCGCTTGCTCGAGTTGATTTTGGACGTAATACGCCAACTTCTTTACAGACGCTACGCGTTTCATTGTCAGCGGATCCGCTTTCGTCCATTGATAACTGTCCTTTGATCTGAAAAAAACATATGATAAGTGACTAAGGTAAAAATTGGTGGGCTGCAATAAAATAGATAATAAATAGTCTATTCGGTATTTTTTACTTCATAAAGTAACTAAACTTTTTGAGTAAAAAAAGCGTACAGTTAAGATTGAAAAGCGATCAATAAAATTTAATGTCAACCGAGAAAAAAAAATATGTGAGTTTTCTTTTCATTCATTTGACGAAATACTTAATTTCAGATTATTTATAGCAAATTTTCGAAATAAAAGTTTTTTTTTGCTATTTGACGTTAAATATAGTAAGTATATTAAAATAAATAAAACCAAATTACGACGTCACATGTTGCGATTTCATACAAAATTTAAATTAATCAATTTATAAAGTATTGCATTTGACTAGTTGGAAACCGGATTGATAGGTAGGTAGTTAAGTGAACTTACTCAGCATGCGTCCGAGCTTCAGCGACTACAGCGCATGCGCGAACCAGTTCCAATTTGAGCTGCACGATGGCGTTGCGCAAATCGTCCGAGGAACATTCCTTTCTCAATTGTTCCGCGTCTTGCGAAGTATAATTAAAACTGGCGTTGATTGAATCAATATCGCGTTGTAACTGTTAGAAAATAAATAAAAATAGGTACAACAAATAGTTTAAAATAGAAATACGATTTACTTTGAACATTATGGATAAAAATCAATGGTCATATGAGAGCAAACTTGTAAGTGTCACACTCATTATTTTGGTCAAGTAACAATACAGTTTAAATACTGCCGTTTTCTGATCTCTTGTCAAATTCGTTATTTTACAATTAATAAAACAGAATGTTTTATATAGTAAACATAAGAAAGGCCAAGATCAGTGCCATGGATGTGTATGTATGGAAAGGAAGTTGATTGGGATGATAATGCTTTGTGTGATTTTCGAATTATGAATTGGAATTATTCGTAACAATTTGACTGTAATGAATATAAGATATTGAAATCATAGACAAACTCACCCTAGCTTGAGTCTCCTTAGTTTTCACCATAAACTTATACAGTTCCATTTGAAAGTCATTCACTTCTTTGACGAGCATATTCTTCAATTCCTGGTTGATTTTCATTTCGTTTAATTTGTCTTGTTCTGCTTTTAACGCGGCATTCTCTTGCGCTGTCGCCAATTGAGGTTTGGGGGCTGCAGGCTGAGTGTGTGGCTATTGGAAAAATGACATTAGAGTATTATTACAAGGATCAAAGTGCAATGAAGCGTTAAATCATAATTTTACATAACAAATTCAACCTTATCTGCTCGATAGTATAATATATTTTATACACTTATAAGCACAAACGTATTCACACTCTATTTTATGCCTTACGCTGTGGAGATAAGGTTGTTTTTTTAAGTTTAGTATTTTTTTATATATATTATTTTACAGGTCTCATGATTGACTTACCGCAGTTGCTTGAACTGTTGGTTGAGGGGCTGGTGTCTGCTTTATGTCTACTTGAGCCGGCTTTGGTATAGTTTGCACAGGAGCTGAACCTTGAAAGATTCAAAATCCATTTTTATCTATAGTAGTCAAATAGTATAAAAGTGGATGTTAAAGTGATGGTGTATATAACCAACACATAATTATATAAAAGGCAAATAATAATATTATTTTCTATGTTCGTTCGTTCGGATCTTGTTGAATGAATATTGATTTCTCTCTTCACTTGGTTAGCCAACTGTACAAACAAAGAAAGAAAATCACAGTATTGGGAGAAAGTTGATTTGATTTGTATTCAGTTCACTCTGTCTATATTTTCACATCTCTATATATCCCTATAGTGCTTTATATAAATATAGAGTAGGTATTGTAGAAATATTCGAAAATAACAAATAAAAATAGACTGGATTTTTGAAATTAACAAATAAAAATTGAACAAATGTCGGGTGAATATCAAGTACACCCTCTAAGAGCATTATTTGAACTAAAACTGACAAAATGTTATATTATTAGATGATAAGTCGAGTTCAGTAATAGTTTTAATACAAACAAAATATCAAGAATACAAACCTGTTGTACTAAATAATTGACCCTGAGATTGAGCGTAACTCGGCGGTTTTGGTATGTTGAGTATGCTGAACTGTGGAGCTGGTTGGGTGGGTACTGGCGCTGGTTGGGATTGTGGCTGAGGCGCCACCTGTGTCTGCTGGGGCAGTAAGGGCTGGAAGTAAATATAATTGTAGGATAAGACTTGAAGTAACCTGTATTAATAGTAATCTACAGACGGCAGCAGGTTAACCTACAACTACCTAATTATTTTTCATGTTTTATTTTATTTAAGCTTGGGAATGCCAAGAAAACTGTTGCAGGTTTATCCTTTACTAGCCAATGGCATTCAAAGGCTGCACACTGATAGATAACGGTTTACAAATCCTTGTCTAGCGTGACCCACATTTTGGCCCTTATGGCGTCTAACTTGATGAAATAACAAAGATGTAAATCTAATAACATTTTATTTGCAGAAAAGTTGACCTGCTGTAGTTGCAAAATTATACTTTTACATTTTAAATAAAATAGCTTGACAATATTAACGTTCATTTAATATCAGAAATCAAAAGGTAGTACAGTAATTACTACTATAAAACAAATTACATAAAAAAAAAATATTAACAATAGGTGGGTGAACGCCTTCACTCAGGGTTTGGTTAATTACTATTATTATATAATATCTGTGCATGTATAATGTTGCCATTTGAAGTGAAATGTTTGTATAAGAGTTTGAGACTTACCTTTGGCTGCGCAGGTTGCACAGGAGCTGGGGCAGGAGCGGGGGCCGGCGCGGGCGCTGCTGCAGCTTGAGGAGCTTCTCCTGGTATGGCACTGTGCACAAATTGGAATAAATCTTAAAGATATTAATGTTTATTTTACGGCAAGGAACTTGTCTTGATGAGAAAGGGCGCAAAGGTGCATTTTTGTTCTTTTTTCACACATGTGTGTTGTTCAATGCAGGAATCGAGCCCGCGACAAGTTACGCGGCAATCGTCTAGCTACTGCACCAACCGTACTATCAAAAAGTAAGTTGATGGCAGAGAGGAACGAATGGGTCACACCTACTCTTCCTATAGGTGTAGCAGATATCTAAGAGTCCATTAGTCAGAGTTCGAGAAGCAGCCCTACGTTAAAACCCGAAACTTTTGAACTCCATTCCAAGGAGGCCCATACCGAAACAGGATCTAAGATGTATAAATATAAATAAAAAAATATATTTATTCTCTCACCTAGTCATGGCAGCTGCAGGTAATACAAGTTGTTGTGGAGGCGAGCAGACCTGCGTGGCCTGCTTGTTGAGAGAGATTATGTTGAAGACTGATAACAAACCAGTCTGAGACACGACGTGTAGAAGCGGCATATGCGGTAATAACGTGGTTTCATCTACAGAAAGAAAGAGTATTTTGTATTCGGGTCTATTATGTTATATATATTTGTATACTAAAAATCACTACAAAGTGTGGGAGAGCCATGCTTCGGCCTTACAGAAAACGTAAGAAAGAGGTTACCGAAGGCCCAATTCCTTCTCCACCCACCATCCCTTACCAATCCTTAACTATCCGAATCCCTTCTCCCCAAAAGGCCGGTAAAGCATTCGTAACTCATTTGGTGTTGCGGGTGTCCATGGGCACATGGGCACATGGGATCACAAAAAAAACAACAGTATAAAACGAAGTCTCTTTTTCTGACCTTTTGTCTCTAAGTATACTTAAATTTTGAAAACTGCGCAAAGGGTCGATTCGGAACCGTTTTTTTTATAATAGATAGATTGAAGAGGAAATTTAACTCCAAATAACATCCATTAAGCAATAGATACATTTTGTATTAGCATAGCACCCGTGCGAAGCTGGGGCGGGTCGTTTGGTTGTATGTAACAATTCTAAGAAAACCTCGCAACAAGAATATTTAATTGTCATAACCATTACAACTACAAGACATCCAGAACCTCAATGAAAATTATAAGTGAAATGAAATTACAGTATGAATTCTACATTAAGATAATACATACCCCACTGTATTTGATGTGTAGCACATGAGTCAATACAAACGCCTACAGGATAGTTTTCTTGTTTCTTGTCCGTTAGAGGCAATTCCGGTCTCGCTTCATCAATCTAGAAAATATTTGAGTTGTTAAGAAGTTATATTGTGTGAGAGTTGTAATCTTACAGTATTTATAAACATTAAAGTTATTTTGTTTAATCAAACTTTTAAATCAATTTTAATAAAATATATTTAATTCAGTGTTATACTCTACTTCCACAATATGTATAAGGCAGCTAGAAAGTAGTATCAATAGAAGCTAGAAAAAGCTTTCTGAAAATATTATAATTATTTTTATTACCTGACACCACTGCACCCAATTAGTTCCATCTGCAGACCCAAGAGTTGCTATCTCCATACCATTGGATGATGCCGCCGTAATAATATTCCTGATGAAAAACAAACATTTTAACTACTCAGTAACATTTAAATAGAGGCATTGTGATTGGCTCAGAAGAAGAATTGATACATTTTTAAATAACAATTAAGTAGTAGGGTAGAAGCAACCTTATTTTGTAAGTTGTAAAGGTGAGATTCACAATTGTTAAAGTATAAATGTTTGGTTACCATTGCGCCAATCCTTGCAGGTAGTAGTACCAAGGTCTGTTAGAGCCCATACTATAGCAAATATCTTCATAGTTCTGACAGCTGGGCTGACCAGCTTTTGGCGTGTTTATAATCGTTACAGCTGGAAAACAAAGTAATAAAATTATATAAACTATCTGGCTAAGCCACCTAAACTCAAGAACAAAAGTAAAATAGTGAAATTAAAATAAGTAGGTAAATGTAAAATAGTAGGTTGTCGATTGAAGTTTGGTTAGAAAGTCTAGCTGAAAAGTCATCAATTATTATTAGAATTAGTTTCAGTAGAAGTAGCTTAACCTTCCAATCGTGGTGTTTCGAGACATAATAGCAAGACAATACGTGCGAACGGCGTTCGCTTGGGGTTTGAAAAATTAGGATGGGTAAGACAGGTCATGATTCCAATTTGTTGATTTAAAAACAATGACTGTATAGACATTTTTCCATACACATAGATCTTGTCAACAGATTACTAGATTACTGACTGAACAATATATGCATTTTAAAAATGTTGAATATCAAAATATCCGGTTTACTATCAAACTTTCAGCATTTATGTTGGCTCACTAATATAAAAGTCAGATTAAATAAAGTTACACTTACCAGGGCGACTATTATCAGTAGCATTTTTATATACCGCAGCAAACTGAAAGGTTGAGATCCAATACACTGCCAAAGCTTCCACAGGCGCATTCTCAAACAAATTGGGTGCAGGAATGGTCTTAGCTGGTGTTAAGTCAGGTTTATACTGGCTGAGGGTCCCATCACTGTTGCCTGTGACAAATTGTTTGCCCTTTGGACTCCAGCAGAGGCATCTGTCAAATTCATTTAATAAAGGATTAAACTGTTATGAAACTCTATATACACAAGTATTAAGATAATAAGATGTTCATATGAAGAATATCAGAAACTTTGGGGAATTATTTTCAACAACCAGAAAGTGAAACCCAAGATCATGAATAATCATGATACAAACTAAGGGTGTTGACACCATAGAATAGGTATATACTTAGCATAGACAATTGATATTAAAGTTCAAAGCAAAATAAACTTATCTTAATTTATTTCCTACAACCATGCTTTATACATCTTTTCATATTGTAAATGGCAATAAAAGTATTTATTAATATATTTTTTCTAAATCAAAAACTCTATACCAATATCTGTTAATAATAATAATACAATTATTTCTCTTGATTAATATTACCTTGCTTTAGAAGCAGCTTTCTTGACTTGAGATGTGCTGACTTGTGATACAAGGAGAGTACCATCGTAGAATGCTATGGCGATGGTATCAGGTATGCAAGGATTCCATTGTAAAGCTGATACAAAGGTGGATGGATTTACATCACACCTTATAGTTAAGGCTGGTGCTACATTCTGAAAATAAAGGCTATTATTATACATTATTGTTTGCATACGGTATACTATAGGCTTCTATGATATTTAATTTAATTTCCTGTTTATTGCATATCATCCATCCCTCCAGCTAACAATAAAAAGGATCCAAATCTTGCAGCTTTGTCTATGATAGTCAAGAAATGGTCCTTCTCAACTTTTTCAGCACCTAAGTCCTTCTTACATGGGATTAAATTATGAAAGAGTTCTCACTACTGTGTAAGAGTGTATAAACTAATTTAAATTATCACATACTGGATTTTGGAAGTCGGTGACTTTAAAGATGCAGAGTAGTTGTCCACCAGTGACGGCCAGCAGTTCTTGGTCGCAGCTAGCAGCTATATGTGTTGGCTTCTCTTGTAGCTTCACTGTCATATGCTGTGGCTCACACTCCTTGTCAATCAGTTGTTGTAGGTGATATACTGCAAATAGCATGAAAAATCTAACATAGGACTCAAGTTATAAAAAACATGTCACAGTTATATTTGTATTTACAAAATGTATGTTTTAGGTTAGCAGAGGTTTTTTAAAACAATTTATTGAGGGTCAATTTAGATCAGTTACACTTAATGCTTTATGACAGTCAACAAATTGTTGAATCATGATCCCCTTTGGTCATCTACATAAAATCATATGTCTCTAAAATAAGGATAGCAATAAAAACTTTAATTAAAAGGTTATTTGACAAATGAGACTATTTACTATTTACCTGTCAGATGTCCATCAGGTGAAGCTACAAAAACAATGCCATACTTGCTGGCACAAGCAACCAAGTTGTACCCACGGTTTGGCAGCGGGTCAGTTGTGTTAAACACTTTGATTTTACGTTGTAGTTTATATTGAAGGTTCTGGAAAATAAGACAGATTGTTTAAAGTTTTATAGATAGATACAAGAAGGTATTTATGTTGGAGAACAATTTAAATAAGAAAATGTGTACATCCATTCCTCTTAAATGAGTGCACCAAGTTGTTGATTCATTTTTTGATGCATTTGTTTAAGTAAAATAATCGCATTTTGATCCACAAAAAAAAAAAATACTGAATAATAGTAGTGGTAAGAAATATATAATAGTTATTAGTTATCTTATATTCATAGCTTGTCCTACATTTACAACTTCAAAATTGATGACTAAATTCTAGTCTTCGCCTAGTTTTCTTAAACTACATTGCTAAGGTACAACTAAGAACATGAAAAAACAGGAAAGCTACAATAATGTATTGTGTAATCATTGATAGAATACAAATAGTGCATTACTTTATTATAAGCTATATAAAAACTAGCTTTAAAGAAAATGAGAATGTAAATTTTATAAATCTATTTCGTACTAGTTATTCTTTTAAACTAATAAGTAATACTAATGTAAGTTACATCTATTTGTACACAACAGATAACCTACATTTCATAACATACACCAATAATGTTAAGAATCAATAAAACGGGCAACACAAATGATTTAAAATTATTAATAAGGTTTCTGTAACTAATAATATCAGTTATACTTCAAATCAATGTGTTTAGGTTGTAATAAGTGTACGTACCGGTTCGTCAACCGAATTTGGACCAAACACCACCTCCATCTTACACGAATGAGGTGCAGGTGGACCTATATGAAGACGTTTTATATATTAATCAATGCTTTTAGAAACACACAATACATGAACTTTTTCACTGTATATTTGATTTTTTGAAACAAAAAGTGGTAGTCTTTTGCTGAAATCTGTCAAAAGTCAAATCTGAACATTCTGTCATATCAGACAACGGTTGGTTTTGTCACTGTCAAACGTTTAGTTTTCGGCATAGACTATTAACAGCAACACAGATTTTTTAGTAAATTCTTTTGGATTTGATTTTTTGAATTACCAAATTGCTTATAATAAATTTAATTTTTTTTCGAATATTTCATCACATATTCACATCCGTTAAATGTTGAAATCGAACTCTGGACACTTTACACAATATAAGTAGGTAAGTCTATCCAGTTACTGCGCCAGTAATTCTGGCGTTCGTTATGACAGTTACGAATGTAGGTAAGTATACTCGGAATTTTAATTCCATTCCAGATTTGACAATTTCAGTGTTGCAACGTTATGACACGTAATAAATAGTGACGTTGCGAAATTATTCGATATGGAAATCGAATATTTCTCACTCGATTCCTCTCGTTTATAAATTTATTCTCGTAAACTAAGTATATCAGGAAATAAAATATTTCTGAACCGATAATTTAGTTTTGACTATTAATTAACGATCTGAGACTTTTCTTTTGTAATTGTGTGTGAAATTAATAAAAAAATGTGATCATGAAGGAACGTGACAAATAAAACAGACATTTTATAAATTGTCGCCGTCATCGCTATCGCTATCGCCGTTACTCTATGTAACATTTATTATGAATTTTGTCTTTGATATTTATTGTCAATTAACATATCTAGCTTACTCATTTTTTCCTCTTCTTTGAAAACATGGGATACACATTTAGACCATTCGGTAGCCGTAATTTTTTGAATGCCTTCCTGAAACTCATTCACTGATTGTTTATCGATTTTTGTGTTCATCACTACACTGTTATATGTGGTATCATTATTTCACAAAATGACAGTGGTCAATGTCAAATCAGGAATCGAATTAAAAGTCTGACTATAGGTATGTTTTTTTGGGAAAGAAAAATCATCCAATGATTTCTTTCGCTCAGGGTGAGGCGAGAGGGAGTGTTAGACTGTGTTAGACTCTTACTGGCTAAAAACCCCCTGTTCCTTTGCGCTATTCCTGCAACTACGGCCAGCACGGTCAAAAATTAAACAACAACAAAATAAATGCTACATTTTAAGAATAATATTTTAATTTAGGAAATTACATCATTACAGAATATATCATTAAAATTATAGGTATATCATTAATTAGTGCAAACTCTGTTCGTTAATGTTAATTCACATGGAAACAAAATAAAAGACACATAAAATCAATAACAAAATTAAAAATCAAAAGGAATTAATAAAAAAATATCGTTGATTATTATAAACTGATACTGCAGTTTTCCGATTTATCCAAACATTCATCTCAGTAATATTTTAATATATGGTGTTAATAAAATTATTCTGGAAAACAAAGAAACTTTTTAACGAGCCAACCAATAAACCCCTCTGGAAGGGGCAACTTTAAAAGATTGTAGTAAAAAAAGTATCTCCACGATTCGACTTTATACATTTGCTTGGGATCATCGTCAGTCAATGCTTTGACGTATGTTTCAATTATATTCTCGTCTTTCATAGAATCGTAACTTGGATCATGAGCCGTTGCCAACTGAAGATAATTAGAGAGTGTTTTGATCCTTTGGCCATAATAAGATTTTTGTTCTTCGTTCAGATGTTCGAGCATGTTTTGTCCTTGTTGTCCTTGATTTGCTATTATGTTACTGGAACTAACGAAGCCACCTGTAACAGATAAACATCACATACCTAATTGAAAAAATGTTTATATACAATTATCTACTTATATAAGCTTATCAATTATAGGTAAAAAATTAAAAATGTGTAAGTATATTTTTTCGAAAACATCAATCTATTTCTATCCACATAGTTCTTTTAATTCTGTGCATGAGCCATGCATCGGCACGAATGGGCTAGCTCGATCGGAGTGATACCACGGCCTCACAGCAAACTGACGTAAAACAACTAAAACGTTATTTTTCCCGTATGAGTGAAGTAACTGGAGGCCCAATCTCTGCCATCCCCAATCCGCCGGCCCCAAACGGCAACGCACTTCTAACTCTGGTGTTTCGGGTGTCCGTGGGCGGGGCCAATTGCTTACCATCAGATAATCGGTGTAATGGTTTTAAATATTTGTACATAAAAAAATATGCGTAGCTACAATATTAATCGGCACTGAATTCTCAGTTAAATGTCAGATAGCAAATTTTTCAACCATTTTGCATGGGAGTGCACAGCTGTGATCATTGTTCGTCCTCGATTCACAAAAACCGGCCAAGCGCGAGTCATACCCTTGCACAGTTCCATATAACAGAAAACTACCATAATATAGGCTGTGAACCTATGGAGTTATGCTGTATGACCCACGAATGCGAGTGTTTCCATTTTATTCTTCTAACAACTACTGTAAAATTCAAGAAATTAGGAATGGCTTTCTCTAGTAGCCTTCTTCTGTCTAAACAATGGTCCAGTTTTGCTAAATCTTGACCCGTTGTTAAGGTTTCTATACCTCATGCGGGAAACTGTTTATTTGTGTCATCGTTTTCCAAAAATAACGGCAAAATTAAACTTTGTTTTTTGGACCACTGGTACCGTTATCTTGGAAACTTACCAGGTACAAAAGCGACAGCACTTAACCCATGCTTGCGATGTTCCATTCTTAAAGCTTTAGTTAAGGCTAGCACACCAGCTTTACTGGCACTATAGGCTGCAAAACCAGGCAGGGGCTGCAAGCCACAGTGGCTGGCGATGTTAATTATACGCGGTTTTAAAGCACCCTTGTTCTGAAATGAGAAAGAAAAAGGACTATGAGAGAAAGTAGAACAGATTGAAGAATACTACTTGGAATTTATGATTTTGACTTTGACTTTGACTGGGGCAAGACGTTAGAGTGTCTAGTCTACATATCTGTGGGATCTATATATGTAGGTAGGTGGGTATAGGCGCTTTCATCTGCTGGCACATCACGTTATGTCTGATTTTCATCTTTAACACTATTGTTAATGAAGTTCAAAATTAAACACAGTGTCGGGTGATTTAACATTTTTTTGTATTATTGGGTAGGCACGACCTGAAAACTTTTCCTCTTTTTTCCCATCGAAGATATAAATAAAAATGTACAATAAAAGAGAAAATAATTTTCATATCTTCAATAACGGGAAATATGATATTAACAAATCCTGGCTTATATTTTCAATTAAACATTGAGAAAAAAAAGTAATTTTCCCTATAAGCTGATATTATTTTAAGGGCTTACCGATGTTCAGTATTTCGGTCCACAGAAAATAATACCTACGTGTTTACATAAAATAATGTTTACGAAGTCAATTTCATTTTGAGGAAGAATCCCATTTCATTTGTTTTTTGGGCAGGTATCAAATTTTCTATCGTTATTATTACAATGCCTGTTTTCTGGAAGCCGAAATGATAATAATATAAATTACTAGCTACTTCCGCGCGGTTTCACTCGTCGCTCGGCTCCATTTGATTGTAGCGTGATGTTTTATAGCCTATAGCACTCGGGAACATTGTAGCTATCAATAAGTGGAAGAATTTTGGGAATCCGACCAGTGGTTCCAAAGATTACCCCGTACATACAAACATACAAACTTACAAATTCGACTTCTTTATAATATTAGTATAGATTTCTCGCTTGCTAAAACAAACGTAGACTAACACATTTTGCAAGTTAATAGTCAAAAATCCAAGTCGAAATAATTTATTTAAATTGGACCTTATGGAATATATATTGGAAGACTCGTTTGATGGTCTAAACATAAAAAGTGTCAGTCTGTCGGTCAGTTCTCTTAGTGAAGCTATTAGCTCGATTCAAAGTGCTGGTTCTGATTAAAAAGAACGTGCAAGAAACAGCAATAAGTCTTAATGCGTAATAGACATTAGAAGTTGCTGAAAAGGCCAACTCAATTTTCTTAGACCTCTTGTTCGTATGGTAACTAGACTTTTAATAGCTGCTTGGTTTGGTTTTAATACTAAGTTGTTTAGTCACATTTATACTAGGTTACTGAAAACCACCCCATTACTGGTTTGGGCCAAGGCTGCGGTACGTTATTGCTCGTGCACACACTTTCTCCGAGTGGCGGGAAAAGTTATTCGATGATAATGTATACTAATAATATCATAAAGAGGTATGTAAGTTTGTATGTTTGTAAGTTTGTATGTAGGGGGTAATCTTTGGAACTGCTGGTCCGATTGCCAAAATTCTTTCACTGATAGATAGCTACAATGTTCCTGAGTGCTATAGGCTATAAAACATCACGCTATGATTAAATGGAGCCGAGCAGCGGGTGAAACCGCGAGAGAGTGGCTAGTAAACTAATATATAAACATTCATAAATGTTTATGGCCATTTTGAAAATCAATAGTTTCATCTCACCTGTATAGCACTCTGCCTCAAATCCGGAAGGAAGGCAGAAGTAACTTTCATGGTACCAAGGAGGTTGACATTAATTGTGTTTTCAACCATAGAGTCTGTTTGCCATTCATAGTCACCGATTGTCATCACACCAGCGTTGTTTACGATTGCATGGAGCTCTGAAACAATAAACAAACAAAATTCTTATTTTTGCGAGCTCTTTGATGTTAATAGAGGGGTCTTTTGTAAAAATAGCAAGCATTATTTATTTGCGAATTTATTGAAAGTAGATGATTTTCCTAGTAAGCAGACAATTTAGAATATTTTTTGATGTCTGTCTTTTAGATTAATTTTGAATCATTTTTTATACTTCAAATAATATAGTTTCTAACACCTAGGTATATATGTATGAAATTATTTTTTCTTAAGTTATAAGTATTGTTTTTTGTCTCTATAATATGTATAGCATTTATTAATATTTGACTGCACGGTTGATGTGGTGGCTGGGCACCTGGCTGCCGTGCAACGTGTCGCGGGTTCGATTCCCGCACGGAACAATTCTACGTCCTTTTATATTTTTATGGACGAAAGAGGACACAAAAGAGGGAGGATGTTTCTTAATTCGACTGCCAGGCTTTTTTCATAAGGTACTTACTAAACGTGTCCAATTACATTGATTTCTTACCATAGATACATTTGGGTGTAACACTAAGTAGAGTTACATAGACAAAGCATTAATTTTTAATTAAATTTCGGGAAAGTTAAAAGTGTCTGGAACCGTTAGAACGACACTCGTAACAAAATAGTTTCGGATAGTCCAGTAGGTATTCAATTCCAGTGTAATTCCATTCTGGTTCAACTCCAACGGTACGCTAATGGAATATTAATTTTCAACAAAATGGAAACGGCTAGGAGCCTATCTGTAGTTTTAATTGAGTCATTTTCTGTATATTTATATCCCTTTTTAATCGTAGAATAATGTTAAAGGTTTGGTATTACGTACTTATTCTATATTTGTAACTAACATAAGAGATTGACTGAAAAAATTTCGGTATTTGTCAATAAGCTTTACCATTATTGACCTTCTTGAATTGCTCTGAGTGGGAATGGAAGCAGTGACGAGTTTCTTGTGCAATGAACAACAAACGCAAGACGACGACAACCCATTTGCCCAGCCACTGCGCCAACTGTGCAGCTGACTGTACGTCAACAAAGATCTAATATAAACTGAATAACTGTATCTTTTTGTTTATCAGTAAAAAGAAGGTAAACATAATACAAACATTGATAGTACGTTTACACACAGAAACCAAATTGGAAGAAACAGAAACTATCCCATGTTGGTAAAATCTTTCGATTTTGACTACGAAAACTTATTTACTTTTTTACAAAGTTATTTACGTTATTTGTTACATATTTTGGCGTCTATAAAGTAAAGGGATACAAAAGAAAACTTTGTGCTAAAATAAATTAGACATAAAATCACTTACTGTAGTTAGGGTTATCATTTAGCAGTCTTTTGACATAATCACGAAATTTTGCAACACTCTCTGGGTTCGTCACGTCTAACGAATAGGGATGTGCACTTAACTTCTTCAAGCTTTCTGCTGCCTTGGTGTCAACTCCGTTGTACATTCCGGCCACTGTGACGATCCCTTCACGGGCGGTCCTTGCGGCTATAGCCCATCCTAGACCACTGTCACAACCGGTGATAGCAACAACCCGCATAATGGACATAATTTAAGAGCAATTTTCTTTAATTACAGTCCTTCTTTAACTGAGGTCCAGGCTTGAACAAAGCCAGGAAGGCACTGACGTCCCTGAACGCGATCTTCGACCATCTCGTTGCATATGAAATGAGATTCGGCTTTCATTGCATATTTATAATGAATATCATGTTTTTTTCTGTTCATGCGGTCAGATATTGTAAACAGTGGATAAATATACAGCGAATATTTTTTTAATAGTGAGGAGCGCGCGGCAGCAAGCCAATTTTTTGTCACGGTTATGAGGGTAACACTGTATAAATAAATAAATTGCTGAGAATAAGTGAATATTTGTAGGTAGGCTAGGATTTAAAATACATTGGTATTGTTATCAATGTTTCAAAGTGGTTACCGTTATATTGCGTAGGTCGATGTCAGCAATTTGCTTTTGAAATCTTCGTACCTAGATGTGAATTATTTTAAACAGCATAGTCTAGTTACCCATCTCGAAGATGAATTCGATACCGGTAGAAAAATCGAGCAATAAATGTATCGAGCTTGTAGGATCCGATAGTTGCAAGAGTTCTTAAGGCATTAAGAGCAATTTCTGCTAGCTACATTCCGTACTTTTAATCCTGTAAGTAATCGACGAGCAATCGTAAGAAATTAGATACTTACCGTTTACGAGAACATCTTGCGATTCTATTCAGTAAGTAAAGAGCAAATACCTGAGCCAGTCTTCAATAATTTACTTAAGTGTATCCAGTGTTTCAATTTCAACGAAGTTATAAAGCTCTGGAACACGATACTGTAATACGGTGTTGAATTTCGAAACCTTTAGTTCTAAATCAAATTTAGGAGCCCCGAGATGTTTCGACCTAAACTAAAATTCGTATAGTAACCGATGAAAATGTCGAATACTTCGACAAAGAGACGCCAATAAAAGAGGATCGTTTCAGCACGAATACCCATCTGAGAGATTAGACCTATTGAACGGAAACAATCTTGTATTTCTGCTTGACTTAATTCAGGATCGGATCTGTCGGCCTAAAAGTGTTTCGCCAAATACACCACAAATAATATTAAACCTTTTTAACCGCACATTTTAACCTTAATCCAACATTTAAATGTTATTCAAACATTTTAATTTTATTTGTATTTATCTGTTTGTGCACCCATTCATCCAATTATTCATAATTGATTGATTCAATTAATATTTTTGTAAATACAAAGCCCACTGACATGAAAACAGTTTTCAATTTTAATACTCGTAGGTTCGTTATTGCCCAGTAAATAAAGTAAAACACTATTTCGTTAAAGTGAATAGTTGGAGTCTGCCTTTGAAGTCCGGACGGAAGTTAATAAAAATAGGGTGTAAAATTGTATGAATCGTTTTTGGTCGGCGTATCGGGCCCGTGAATAGATTGGCAAAAAGCAAAATGTGTCCGGCCCAGCGGGACACGCACTAATTGTGACGTGGCGCGGATATTTACCGACGCACCGTTCTTTATTTGTTGCATTGATTTTACATAAATTTGCCACCCGACGGGTGGACCGACATAGATTGTGGATGTACCGCGATATTGGGATTCAGGGATCAGAGACGAAATCGCTGATAAATTGTGCTCCCTTTTTTGTGAAACCGTTTTAGGCTGTCAAAAACCATCCGATTTGGGTATATGTTTTGCCCTACAAAACGACTGGCGGCGACATTGTACATTATTTTGTGATCGACAATGTTATTTTTGGATCGCAGGAAATGATTAAAGGGTCTCCGATAGTACCTACAAAGTAGTTCAGTAGTTATTCTCTTCAGTTTTCAAACTACAACAGCTCTTTGTTGAAAGTTTTCTCGTTAGCCAAAATCTCTTTGGCGTGAAAAATCAAGCAAAAATGGATCGCGCTCACTTTTAAAATTTCATTCATCTCACTTTTTAAGTAAAAAGAAGTCGGTCCGAGGCTGTGCGGTGAATAGCGGTCATCCGACCGGCACTTTTAAGGAGAAGGGCACTCCGGGGAAATCTGTACGCCCTCGGCACAGTCCTGATAATAGTGTTTGCTCATTTGAGTGTTCTTCTCCCGGATTGTGTTCCACAACGTTTAATAGCATGGGGAACGAGGAGCGTGGTTTTAAGAGCCTCGTACGCGAGCCAGGAGCTGTATGTGATGTGTCAACACACAAGGCGAACGGAATCAAATAAGCCGTGTTATTAATTTAGCCAGTTGTGCTATTCGCAAATCCAAATGCATTAACTATTGAATTTGATACATTTCAATTATGTGTGTTTTGACCTCATTTAGTGACCTCGCGTAAAACATGCAAGTAAGTGTAACGATTATATTATTATGAAGCTAAGCAACCAGACTGTGAATGTGTATAGCTTTTTGTCGCTACCCCATCTCGCGGGCTCTCACAATCCATCATCATTCGTCAAAGGCACGGCTTGCCTCCACTCCGCCTAAACACATACTTGGATAATAATTAAGCTGTAAGTATTTTCATGTTACACTTCAGAAACATTAAGGAGCAATTTACGCAACATTCAGTGTTAATGGAATTAGGTAATTTTGGAAAGAAGGTAATACGAATATACATTTGGCAGCAAGCTAGACTCTCTGTGTGCCTTCATATAAACGGTAATGTGCTCAAGTATCTAATATTGGCATTTTTCTCAGTTCCATAAGATATTAAAGAATTCAATATTAAAACACTCGGCACTTGAAAGCATCGCTGTTGAAACTTGAGAGATCTCGTTTGTCCTTGGTGTCAAGATAGTCAATATTTCAGATGTGGTACCACAAACACGGCAGTTTATGTTTATTTTTGTCCAAGTGACATTTATTTTCTGTTGACCAATTGAGAGTATTATTGTGTGGTTCGTAGATTTTTAGTTCAACTTGGTCGCGTTTTAACATTTGAAGTAATCCGTTCCAGTTGAGTTAGCTAGCGTAAGATCTCATAATTCATCATTATTCTCTAAGCAACACTCCCCTACTCATTAAGGGAACACATGACGGGGCTTGTAATAGTGCGGAGCTTTACAAAGTGTATGTACGGAGGTTGTGTTAGAAAACGAAAATACACCGCAAGTTAGGAAAAACAGCTCAGGCTCTCTTTAAAGGAGGTGAACTATGAACTATGAAGGATTCTTACATAATTTAAAGACTTTTATGGCTGTATTGGAGGTAGGCTTTTCAACCTTTGAAATTTTATATTATTTACTAGTTGTTTATCAGTTAAATAAAGTTTACTTTGACTAGCTTTTAGACGAACTTTTTATCAGAAAAGTTTACCTAGTAAATGATTGACTAAGTTTGGAATTCAATTGTTTATTAATGTTGCTATTTAAAGTACATAATATTTTGTATTATCTTCAACAAATTAATCGTTCATTTGAATGCACAATTTTGCAATAGCTGAATACGCTGCCAATTTACGCGCCACAAAGCGAACCTGCCAACGGCACGGCGAAAACAGCTACAAAATATCGCCACCTCGAATTTTACCGCCACATTTTTCAGTTCATAAAAGTTTATTTGTTGCTCGGTAGCATGCAAAACCTAGTTCTAGGGAAACTGAGACCTTTCGTAGCCGGCAATCATTCCGCAATGTTATGCCACATTTAACACACCTTACGTTTGCCTGGCAAAATAGGGACTGGAGGAGACTTTTTGCTAAATTTATTGTACGGAAATGAATTGAATTATATACTGTGATTTCGTTTATTTTTGATAGAAAAGGAATTCGATTTTATTTCCTTAGATTAAAACTTATAAGTATATACATAACTTAAACATTCACATGAGGCTATTTGAGCATAATACAGATGAGTGAAATGATTAATTCTTCATATTGTTCTGTATCCATTCTCTGTAGTGGTAGACGTTAGTGTAGAGTGAGGGCACGGAGGTCCCGCAGGGCGAGTCCGCCCGCTTCCCACTCACGACACCCACCACTTGGTACTTCCCGCCATACACCGTCATGAGAGGGCCGCCAGAGTCACCTTTGCACGTGTCCTCGCCAGTGTAGCCCGCCGCACACATTTGTCGTCTTGACAGGTTTGGGTAGAATTTTATGCATTTTTCCTGAGGCACTAGATTGACGATTGTTGATTGTTTGATGTTCGATCGGTAGCGGCCGTTTCGACCCCACCCGGCGACGGCTAGACGAAGGTTCGAGAAGTCCGGGCTGTCGATGTCAATGGATGGCAGGCAGATGGGTCGAATGTAGTCTGAAATGAAAAGAAACGTAATATCAGGAGACATATACAAATGTAAAAGTGATAAGGCAAATTTGATACCGTGTTTTTAAAAAGAAATGAAAATAGAACAATCGGATATTATTTGGATAAATTGTTTGTAAGCGAACACTGTAAAAGTTTTGGTTTGCGTCAAGTTTCGATGATGTTTTGTACACGAGCAAGTAACAAAGTTATTCAGTCGGTTCATAATCCAAATTGTTTTGTATTAGTTGTAACATTTATTAACAATATTGTTTAACTCGATCTGGTTTAGAATAATAATAAGGATCTCGGTAGAGAAATTCTAAGTGAAAATTTTGATCATGGTTGTTATTTGTTGTTTATTAAGTTTTAACCCAAAGAGGCCACTAAGTTCCTCTTAATCACTTATAAATATGACGTACTGAAAGACATTTTTTTTTCGATTTGAGATGATTCATGATAGCACAAGTTTAAACCTTAGTGGTTTTTTGGTTGCTATTTAACATAAATGTTCCTGTAATATTTGTAAAAATGATAAATAAATTAAAAAATATATATTTTATCATTACTTAAATTATTTTTTAGTAATTGCAAAGGTTGATAAATAATACAAAGGAATATTGACTGTTGATTTGGTTGATTACGGGTTTTGTACCGGAGCGAGTTAAGTAAACATTAAATGACTCTGTGTACCATTTTAAGATATTTAATAAATAGGTTTCTATGTAGTTCAGAACTAACTTAACTAATAAAATTGTTCAAAGCTTTCCTACACGTGTGGAAACTTGTATATAGGAAGATATTTATTTTGTTTCTCAACAATTTTGATATATTTTAGTACCTATATCCCTGTCATATTTAGAGTAAGTACCTACTTAGTAGTAGAAGTTTTAATGAGAATTTTGAAAATATTATTTATAAATTAAATTAATATTTTTAATTATATAATTATATTTAGTATGATAGTGTTTTATAAATCCGTCTAGTAGATTAATAAATTTAAGGCGTCCCACATGGACCCCCGCAATTCCAAAAGCTTGACAAGTTATATATGAGTAGCAAGCTGGCCTATTAAGGATTTGAGAATTGGAGATTTGGGGATTTGGAGATTTAGGGACTTGGGGTTTGGGGATTTAGGGATTTGGGGATTGATAATTGAAAATGGGTAAAGAGGTAGAATTGTGGCTATGGGTGATTTTGATTGCTTACTACCAGCCGATTCGTTTGTCGAAATTAATCATAGTTTAAGCTTTGAACCGCCTTGCATGAGAAGCTGGTAACGCGACATAACTACCCATCAAATTTAGGTATCTTGTAAGTCTTCAAAAATCGTGATATGTTATGGAAAATATCTTACCAGTATAAGGTGCGTTGCCTTGTATCCTTATCAGAGCAATATCGTTAGTAAGCTGTGTATCATCATATTGAGGATGTAGTACTACGTCTTCGGCCTTCATCACGATGTTTTCTATACATTTCTGTCCTTCACCCAGTACGTTCTTACAATCTTTTGGGAACGTACGCTTGTCGTATTCCGCTAAGTATATGTCTACGCTGTAATAAAAAAATGTTTAAATAATAAGTACCTACCTAACATGAGTAAATATAGATATAGAAAACTTAAAATTAAAAATATAATGTCTGCCAATGCCACGTTTGATTTTGTGCCTTATTATTGTTGCTCGAAGTGTCAGTATGGAGTGTCAAGTGAAATTTGATATACTTATATTACCTAAAACTGAAGAGAATTCGAAGTTTCCTAATTCAATATTTAATTACGGTAGTTGATTTTGAAAATAATTAATAGAAGTGGCTGAAACGATATTTTCTTTTTGAATTTCGTACGAAATCATAACGATTAAAGTTTTTACTTCAAATAACATATTTATTTCTGAAAAATCAGTTGGAAAAAAATTTCGCTCATCGTGAAATCAATGAATTAAGCTGTATCATGTGTAATTATTGATTTTAAATATAAAAATATTTATACTTGATCTACAAAACCAACCAATTTTATTTTACTTAACACTTACTTTGAAATCTTGCCTCCCTGATCAAAAACGCAGTGACCGGCAGTCAGGACATATTTCGAGCTGATGAGCGAACCTCCGCAGTTGTAGCCCTGTCTCTTATCTCCATAGTCGAAAGTCACTTCCAGCAGAACAGTCCAAGGGAACTGCTCCAATTCAGTTTCCCGACCACCTGAAAGGATATTATATTTAAGAAGTCTTTTAAAATGTTCTTGGATCGGTCACTTTGATTTTATTAGATTGTACCTAGTAAATAAATTGCTAAATACAGGAGTCGAGATAAAAGATCAAGTTTTATTTTGTATGTTTGTCGCCATTCACGGGGCTACAGGGTCCCTGGCCTTATATATTAAAGAAACCTTATTTATAATTATGTTCACTTCATTATTCTTTTAATTTAGATGTCTTTAAATGTCGCTATTGTATTGTTTAATTTAAAATAATGTAATATTAAATATTAATGGTTTTTCTTATACAACAACCATTAATATTTAATATTAAACTAACAAATGTATTTTATATTTTTTTTATCTCACAGATGTTATAGTAATACGTAACTATTGGCTAACCTAATAAATAAATAAAGTATTTATACCCACCGAATATGGTCCGGTAGATATGATAAAAAATATTATTGTAAGTTGAATATTGTAATGTCATATGTAATGTATACAACATTTTTATTTATTTATATTTCATGCACATACGTAGGTATATACATATACATATACGGACTTGGTGTAATCAATTAAAAAAAATATGCCACTGTAAAGATGCTTATATAAAATTGCAATTCACATTAAGAAACTCGATTTTCGTTGCAATTGCAATTAGTTGTAATTAAGTATATATTTGATAAACGAGTTTCAATAAAATATTTAGTTAATAGAATTGTTGGTAACCCCATACCACAATTTGCGAGAGTTCCAAATGCTGCAGTAAATAATAGCCAGTTAATTAAAATGTCTATTACGTGATATCGTTAATTACTGGTGCACAAACAACTTGTTTACTTGTATGAAGATATTAAAAATAGATGTATTGTGTGTATCTAGATGTTTATTGGAAATAAGTATGTGAAAGTCAAGCTTCGGCACGAATGGATCGGCTCGACCGGAGTGATACCACGTCCTTACATAAAACCGGCGTAAAATTATCAAAGCGTTGCATTTCGCCGTGTGAGTGACTAATCCTTCCTCTCGCCCTATCCCTCCCTTAATCCTTAAATATCCGAAACCCTAATCCCCAAACAGCCGGCAACGCATTCGTACCAACTTTGGTGTTACGGAAGTCAATGGGCGGCGCTGATTGCTTATCATCACGTCACCAGTTTGCTTATTTCCGACCTAGTCAAGAAACTCTTATATACAGTACAGATGCGAGAAAGAGGGATGGAGCTATATACCTTTTATAGCTCCCTCTTTCTCGCCCGAAAGATTCACGCTTTAACACGTCATGGTAGGCCTACAGTAGTGTCATATTTACTTTCTCGAGCACTCGCATCTGTACTGTATATAAGTGTTTCTGAGCAAGGTCGGAAGGCCCTCTGAACTCCATATCACTAGTAGGTACGATTCCTCGATAATCCGAAGTGCATACTTGTATATCAGAATGATTTGAATTTCACAGTTCTATTTATATAGCGCATAAGGACAATTTAAATTGAGTAATTGAGCTAAGTAGTGGTCAATGTCAAAAGTAATAAATTATAAAGCCAAAGAAAAATATATGTAAATTGTATGTGCAAGTTTACTCTTAAGTTGACTACATTTACAGTGAAGTTATTAGTAAATAATGTTGTGTAATACATTACCTGCTATACGATTGCCAACTGTAACTTCAGGAACGTCCTTAGCAGACCTTATGAACCTTCCCTGAGGCCTGTTATAAGGCCATGCAGAGTTCCCGAAAAAGTTATTCCCATTATTCCTAGGCCCTTCGTCATAGTAGGAGGGTGGCTTAGGCCTGTCTGTGCAAAGAAAAAAAAAGTTGTGCATAGTGGAAGAAAAGTGTGAAAAGAAAGGAATAGTGGGAAGATAATTGTTTTATTGAATACAGTTTATTGCCAATGTTTTGGAAAAGTTCAGTTCAAAATTTAAAAAATAGAATTAGATACATCAAAGGTGTAGTTTTTACTAGCAGTTGGTTTAGTTATCCTTGTGTGTAAAAAATACCTATTCTTTATTGCGTTCTTTACTAATCAGATGATATGTGAAAGAAAAACGCACCTTTTTCTAAAGCGTATAAATAAAAATATGCAAAACAAAAATTATACTGAACAAAATATTGTTTTAAAAATCTGTTAAACTTTTAATTAAAATTCCGAAGCACCCTGCACCTGATCAGACAAGCGTTTTACAAATAAAAACTGCTGTACTTTGCATGTTAAAAGCGGGTGTATATACAGGCTGTTCATAGTAACTTACCGATAATCCTGTCGCTATCAGACGCCTCGCGGCCGCAACATCCTGTATCAGGCTTCGGGGGTAAGCTTGTTACAGGGCAATGACCCCGTTGACTATTTCCCCCACGACCTTGCCCGCGAACAGGAAAGAATGGACTCGCTGTCACATACGGACTATTATTCGAATTAAAATAATTCTTTGGTCGCCGATTATTGTACCCAGATTCTCTGCTATCATAACCCGGGTTACCCTGATTACGGTACTCATTATCTTCATTCGAACCCCAGCCATTATCACTTGGATTATTACTGAATCCGTAACCGTTTGGGTTTTGTGGATTAGGGTAATTATTGTATCCAAGGTTTCGGTCATCGTAATTATTATTTTGGCGGCCGAAATTATTGTAGTTGTTGCGTCTGTTTCGCACTGATCGTTGGACGTCGGAACAACATACCTGAAATTGTTGATGAAAAAGTAAGTATTAAGTAATTAATACATTTACAAGCGGAGCAAACGAGTCCCTCGGTTTATTTGGAGCAATGAACTTATTAGTATTTTCACATTTACATTCAAAATAAACAAAATGGAGAGTAATATCAAATTGTTAAGTAAGTATAAGATTCCTTATTTTATGAGATCCATCGAATGGGAAAAGGAATAAATCACTATCCGAAATATAAGTCACGAAATTAACAAAATACTTTTTGCCCGACAACCTCTTAATTATTTTCCGATAGTTCGCTAGGTGTCGTCTTCAAAATTTTTAATTATAAAATTTTCGTGTAAATACGTTACGCAGATCGATGGGCTCATAATTACGCGGTTATTTATTGAACCATTTTATCATGTTGCATGTTTTACGGTTCAAGTATTTTTATTGATATATTTGGTGATTAACGGTTAATATAATATAGAGTATTTGTATAGAATTTGTTGTGAATGGGGGATAAGTGTTATGAGTTATGAATGGCATATTTACATATTCTCCTTTAGAGATGGGTGCGAATCCAAAGAGGTTGCTCAATTCATAATCTTCGGGTGAAGAGCAAGGATATTTAAGTTGCAAATCTTCTTTTTCTTCCTTGCTTAGTTGTTCGAAGGCAGGGCATTGTTCTACTTTTAAACACGCTTTGCATTCTAAAACATAAAACACTCGATATTTAAAATAGGGAAGTAAATTTTCAAACACCATTAAAAAAAAAATAACGAACTTCACGTCGTCGACTGTTTTGACTTTTTCTTATTAAACTCGTTCTATTTATAAGAAAATTAGAAATTTAAAAAACAGCTTTATTTTATAAAATAAAATAAAAGCAATTGAATTGAATTTACCCTCACAAACGGCTCTCGATATTAAGGATACCACTACGAAACTAATGTAAACACAATTTTTCATTGTTTCGTCAATAAAATTACGATATCAACTTCTAGAACACAATGACCATGAACACACCACACTGAATGCTACAATCGTACTACGACTTGGTCTTCGATGGATCGCTAATTATCTGAAGGAAGCCAGGTCGGGTATTTAGTACTAATTACCAGTCACATCAATGATTGGTCTATTAGTTTTATAGTCTACATTGATTACGAAACTATGAAATTCTTAGAATGTAACAATACTTACACGTGTGCTGATGGAAAGTTCGTTAATCATGAGGAAAATTTTATTTTGTACTCCTTTTACTTTGTATTTTATTAGGTAAATGGATTGAGATAAGTACAAGGCTTTCTGTTTGCAATAGTTATAGTTTTTAGTATAGTTACTTTGCTTCGTATTAAATGTAACTTGGTAAAAACTTGTCTGAATATATATAGGAAAAATCATTGATATTATGAATGAAGATTGGATATGTCAGTTCGTTTTAGGCTCACAGGTATTTATGGGTCACTGATTATTACAGCGAAACTGCCGTTGAATTTATGTTTTTTTAGTGGGAATATCTACAAGTTACTTTCCTCGCTCTTGATGAGGCGAGAAGGAGTGTCAGAATGTGAGAGACTAAAACATTAAGTTCCTAGTAATTGCACTTGGCTCGGCTGAACAGCAGCCCTTAAGAATTTATGTAAGAAAGATTACAAGTTACACTTATATAACTTGTAGTTGCGGATTTTTTAAATTTGGAAATTAAAAATTAAGTTATTACAGTTATGTTTTTCGGTTTCATAATACTACATACAACTAGGTTTCAAAGTCAAATAACAATAGATGTATACAGTACATGTTATATATAATCTTCATCTTTAACCTTTTATGTAAACAATACTTAAACTTTATTTTACACCATGTAAACAACTACTAAAAAAGAAAACAATGGACTTAGAAAAGAAGTCGAAAGTCTTTTTAAGCTTACTAAGGATTTCAGGCAGGCAACTTTATAAACGTGGTTGGTGGCTAATAACGTCGATAATGCCGTCTACTTTGCAGTTTCGGTTTTCCGACTTACAAAGCGCTTACCGTCTAGTCGTGCCCGCGAATACTAAAAAGGTTAATAGAAAATAAACGCGTAACAATGTAAAAAAGAATTCAATTTTCATTTATTCTGAAAAAGCCAAGTTCAAAAGCAGATGCATTTCAAACGGAATTTGTGCAATTCGCAAAGTGAATTGAAAAGCAGTGGTAATTGGTCGGCGCGGGTCCACTACTGTCTGACAGCGAAAACGGAATCGACGCACACCGGCCGTGCCGGGCCGCAACGGGCCGCACCGTGCCGTGCCGTGTGACAGAAACTCAATTAGCAGCGAAATACACGCTCTTTAACATACGGAATCAAACGTTTGAGTATTTGCTTTCGACGGGGTACGGATCAAACAAAACATCCACGTTATTTCGTAATGAAAATTGTAATCTAGTCCTTAATGACTTTCTAGAGCTAATTTCATTGTACTGATGGTTCCTTTATTAAACAGTTTTCAATAAGGATTATTATTAGTTTTCGTAAATACTTTTGTCTGCGATAGGAATCTAATTACAAAAGTTTGAAGGGTTTACTTTATGAGTGCGTGTATTAATTACCTTTGATTGAACATTTCTAATTCTCGGTAAACAAAAGTGAGGAAATAACAAAATACCTAATGATAAAAAGGTAAGTAATTTATAAATGCCTAAGTAAGGCTATTCTTTATAATGACATCAACTGACAATAATCTGTATCGAGTCAATTAACTGCCGTTTATCAGGCTCGTTAAACTCCAATTATATGGCGGTCCGTGCAGTGACTAAGTAGGCACTGGAGATTCCCTTGTATTGCGATTCGCTCTGTCATGCTTCCTCGTCTTTGGACTTGAGGCACAGGTACAGGATCATAGAAAATAGTTAGTAGCAGTATTTAGTTATAAGAATTATTCGATAAACAACTACCTACTGGTAGTTAATAGTATAGTAAAGAATGTTATGTTTTTCTTAGATGACACATGCAATTGGTAAACATGGTTTCTAACACGAAATATTGGTGTTGGTTACGCCCGAGGTAGTAGAATAAAAAGTAGCATAGGTAATGTTAGTCAAAATTGTACTTAGATCCGTAAAATAGTTTTGTTGTGAAAGAGTAACGAACATATCTACACCGGTATTTTAACTTACTTTAAAGTTAATTCATTTTATTGCACAGTTGACATTGTGACTATCGTGTTGCAGCTTTGAATCCCGCATACAACAAATCTGAGTAAGAACCAAAAATTGTTGTTCCGGGTCGGATACAATGTGATTTTTATGTTTGCACACGCACACACGATGTCGAAATAAATTCAAATTTATCAAAAGACTAATTCTCTTTTTTATTTAATTTATTGAGTAAATTCGAAAGAAAAATAAATCACTTTAAGTCGTACCTTAGATTAACTACTCAACTAGTTTAAAATTATGAAACAAAGGAAAACATCTTCCAAACTAATATCATGACATTAACTTAGATAAATTGTAGAAGCTGTATACAGTAATTAATAACTCTGTGAAGCAACTAAAGCTGGGATAAGTCTTAAGGTATTAAAATGCGGCAGAACTTCCCTGCCTGTTCTATTTAAGGGACAACTGAGTTTCTAGCCAATTTAATTTGGACACTAAACAGCCTGGATGCGATCCAAAAACTGTATTAAGAGACGCGGATGGCATAATTTTAAGGGATCATTGTGCTTTTGAATCTGTGCAGTTCTGCATTTATGACCTAGTAGTAGCTTGTTCAAGATTCGTCAGTTGTGTGTAATGTTTAGAGTGTTTTTCATGTGATTGGTCGGCAGACAAGCTTACGGAATACGTGATGGTAAGCAATCAGCGTCGCCCATGAAACCGTAACAACTGCGTTGTATGTAATTCTCTGTGTGAGCGAGGATACCGGAGGCCCAATCTGCCCTCATCACTCTCCAATCCTTTAATATCCGAATTGCAAAAAGGCCTAACTTCTTTGGTGATCACGATTACGATAACTCTCAACACAATTAAAAATTTGTATAATTATATAATTTTATATACTTTATTGTTTTTTGTCATCACGTTGAAGAAAGTTTTTACGGAAATTATGTTACATAATAGGGTAATGTGATGAATTAATGATCACATTTGCCTATGGAATTTTGTCAGGATTTTTGACATCGGAAAACCTAATGACCTTTTGATTAGTTCCGCGCTGACAGTTACTGACTAGTCTGATTATTGGTTTAACCAAATTGGTTTGTACGTCTGCGTGGCACATAGCATCATTGGGTTTAGAGAACTACCCACTTAGCATTTTGGAGTACCTATTTATTATTGTTAATAATTTTTATAAATTACATAAATTTATGAAGATTTCTGAAGGATTTATCAATATGACATAATTGTAATGTGTGTGTGTGTGTGTGTGTGTGTGTGTGTGTGTGTGTGTGTGTGTGTGTGTGTGTGTGTGTGTGTGTGTGTGTAAATGTTTATGAGATTTACTGTACGGTTATTGCTGTGGTCGGGCCGCTAAATATCGTTCTACAGATTGTTTTGAGGTGTTCATTTATTTCTTCAATTCATCAAACCCTAAGCGGACGCCGGCGTTCGTGTAACTATTATTCTTCCACTGTGTCTCAAATTACCACTATTAAAAGGCCAGGCCACATTTTTGCACAATTATTGCACAATAGCGGACTTAAGGCATTTTCTACCAGTCTGCCTTAGGATAATGCAGAGGCAGGTCGTGGTGGTTTTTCCGTATGGGAATCGAACTCGAGACACCTTTTGCACGTCAGCAAGTTGCCTCAACAGTGCAATCACATAGGTATTAGATTTTCTTTACATTCTGAGACAATATTTCTTGCAGTATTTCTCTCTATGTAAGTATTTGCCTCTGGAATCCATCATCATAAGGTGTAAACTTTTCTCTTCAAGTCTGAGTAGCTCTTAGCTACTTCTGTGCTAGTAGTTGGTAAATATCTAACAACTACAAAGTCTGCAATAACTAAAGTTTACGAGAGAACATAATTTCAGCCTGTATTTTTTTTAACTTAAAGGTGGGAAGTAATTGTTATTTCCTTAGTTTTAGGAAGGTTAATTTTCTACTCTGTATTTTTGTTCGAATACTAAAGATTAGTGATATTGTAATTTAATTTTTTTTATCTGTGCTAATATTATTAAGAGCAAAATTGTGTAATTTTGTATGTAGGGGTAATCTTTGGAACAGCTGGTCTGATTGCCAAAACTCACTGATAGAAAGCTACAATGTTTCTGAGTGCTATATGCTATAAAACATCACGCTTCGATCAAATGAAGCCGAGCAGCGGGTGAAACCGAGCGAGAGTTGCTAAAGTAAATATATTTATTTAGACTTGACTAATTGCATTGTGAGAAAATTTGAAAAGTTATTCTTTTTTATGTCAGATTAACATGCGCAAGTACTTGTTACTATTTGAAATCTATTATCGACGCACAACTTCAAGCCTTTACGATTTATGTGCCAAATTTCCTACATATTCAACGACTTCAACTAAAACTTGAAATAAAAGTTGTAACAAAAGTACAAAGTGAGAAACGAACGATATCCTAGATATTTTCGACGCGAAAGCACCCAGTTTCTGCAACTTCTGACAGTTTATCTGTCGCACCGATGCCCCATTGTGCACAGCTCGCCACCCCGACATTTATTTTTATAAGACGTCGTGAGTTTGACGGTCCTCGACAAATATCTGGTTTCAATTTTCTCTCAATTAACTTCAACGTAACGTTACGTTGAATTCGACAAGTGGCACTTAGATCTAATGGGTCTATGTGGTGAGGGGCCCTTGGGACCCTCGCGTATTTACTGTATATCGGAAGGGTTGCTTATGCCCCATTGTGTCGCCTCACGGAACCAACGAACGTCGCAGGGTTTTCTGAACTTTACCGTCCGCTTGTCAAGTTGGTAAGAAAGGATACATTGTGGTGGTGTCGTTCGTTCGGCTTCGTATTATTTGTTATTTAATAGTTAAGGGAAGTTTTGAGACTGTTTATTGCTTCGGAAAGTAGTTTTGTGTTGATTTGATGTACTTATTATTGTTGTCCGTTTCAATTTTGTTATTATTGACGAAAAGAAGTATGGCAGACTTTATAAAAAAATATTCGTATTATAAGAAAAAAGTTTACAAATATCATGTTATTGAAATTATATTTTGATGTCTAATTTTCTAAATCCCTATTCATTTAACTATTGATTTTCGAAACTT